CCTGTACTGCGTAAAACACAGTAATGCCCTTCACTGCATAGACACAGCCTGCCCTGTACTGCGTTAAAACACAGTAATGCCCCTTCACTGCAAAGACAGCCTTGCCCTGTACAACATTGAACACAGTAATGCCCTTCACTGCATGGACACAGCCTTGCCCTGTACTACACTGACACAGTAATGCCCTTCACTGCATATACACAGCCTTGCCCTGTACTGCGTTAAAACACAGTAATGCCCTTCACTGCATATACACAGCCTTGCCCTGTACTGCGTTAAAACACAGTAATGCCCTCACTGCAAAGACAGCCTTGCCCTGTACAACATTGACACAGTAATGCCCTTCACTGCATATACACAGCCTTGCCCTGTATTGCGTTAAAACACAGTAATGCCCTTCACTGCATAGACAGCCTTGCCCTGTACAACATTGACACAGTAATGCCCTTCACTGCATATACACAGCCTTGCCCTGTACTACATTGACACAATAATGACCTTCACTGCATATACACAGCCTTGCCCTGTACAACATTGACACAGTAATGCCCTTCACTGCATATACACAGCCTTGGCCTGTACTACATTGACACAATAATGCCCTTCACTGCATAGACACAGCCTTGCCCTGTACAACATTGACACAGTAATGCCCTTCACTGCATATACACAGCCTTGCCCTGTACTGTGTTAAAACACAGTAATGCCCTTCACTGCATAGACAGCCTTGCCCTGTACAACATTGACACTAATGCCCTTCACTGATTGGACACAGCCTTGCCCTGTACTACATTGACACAGTAATGCTCTTCACTGCATATAGTCTTGCTTTTTGCTGCACATCCTTGCCCAGTACTGCATAGACACAATAATGCCCTGTGCTGCATTTACACAATAATGCCCTTCAATGCATGGACACAGCCTTGCCATGGACTGAATAGACATAGTAATGCCCTCCACTGCATAGACACAGTAAAGTCATTCACTGTATATACACTGTAAAGCCCTTTACTGCATAGACAGTCTTGTCTGTAATGCAGCCTTGCCCTGTTCTGCATTGACAAAGCATTGCCCTCTACTGTAGCATTACCCAATACTGCATTAATACAGCCTTGCCCTTCACTGCATAGAAGTGATATTTACTGCATGGACTTACCCTCGACTGCACGCACCTCCATGCCTTTTAAATCATGGCCATGCCCTTCACTGAATATGCCTGCCCCTTTCACTGTGTAAACCTTCCCTTCATTGCATCACCCTCGTGCTTTACTGCCTTTATCTACCGTGTTGATACGGAAATGCGCCCCCCCCCCCCCCCCCCCACTGAACGGGGCTCGTGTGCATTAGGGCTCATCAGTGAGATATGCCCAGGTACAGACTGCCAGTGCGAGAGCACGGGGCAGCCAGCGTTCTTGTCACGCCACGGGATGAAGAATCCTCGTCTGAACTCTCGCCGCCTCCGTGCAGTAACAAAGACTTCTTTGCGTTGGAGAACGGCTCGCGGAAGATGATGTCGCAGAGCTACCTCTGAGGCACGCAACAGAGGGCGGCGCTCTGCGTATGAGAGTCAACGTTCACCACAAAGCGGGTTCAACTGATGTGCAGTATATATATATTCTTAGAGGTGACATTTAGGAGATGCAGAACTAAATTGAATGTGGTGGCGTATTTGTGGTGCTGTCATTGGATGACCACCGACCGGGCTGAGACAACTGGATTCGAAGCCAGGGTCTCTCTGAGCGTCGCCGGTCTCAGAGCCGCCGTGAGCCATCCGGTCACTTCCTGACAGCGGATTGTTTTTGTAACAGCCCAAGAAGGACATTTGAAAATTTGGTAATGAAATGTATCCATAATCGAATTTTTATGAAAAAAAATATAATGGTAACCAGTTTTGTCCCGTCTCACCAAAAGGGACTCTTCGATAAGCTATCGGCCGTGTGTGTAAGTGGCATTCACATTAACCTTTCCTTATGTCAACGCGGTATATCGTCTCTCCACGATCCAAAAAATGAGCACCTATTCTGTGAGAAGTTAACGCTAGTTTTTTTTTTTACTATGAAGGTAACACCTGCCACATGAATGTGGAATTGGAGACTGGTTTCTTACATGGACCACCAGGGCTTGCCGGGCGTCATCGGTGTGTGGCTGCAAGTTGTGGCTAGTGGGAGCGGAGTGTAGCGGTAGTGTAGCGGTTAGCGCGCTGCGCTACAAACCCGGCGACCTGAGTTCGATTCCCGCTCATGGCCAACGCCAGTGACAATTATCTGAATGGGTCCTAGGTCTCCCCTAGGTCGACTCGGCCTCAAATGAGTAACTGATGATGGATGCTTCTGTTGCGCCCGAAACGTGATTTATTTATTTGATACCTACGTGACTTTACCGAAAGAACCAAAGAGTATGGTGCAGTGTGTAAACATCGCCACTAGCGAGACAAAGGCGGTCAGGCATGGTGTTGGACACCCACCTCCTCGTGTGTCATTCGGGCCTTCATAGGTGCTCGCTTTCAGCACTTGCCCCAACAGTCTGTTACAGGCTATACGGGGGATATTTGTCTTTGGTGTGACCAGGAGATGTCGAAGTGTCACCTCCTCTTGTGTTGTTAGCTCCCACGCGAAGCTTAAACGCTCATCAGGCGAATTGGCCAGACCATCCCAATGTAGCAAGACCCCCCCCCACACCACCAGCTTAAAAAGAGACTTGTGCATTCTAATGATGCTGTAAAATTACTGGAAATCAGTTCATACTTCGAACTTGAAAAATCCAAATGCCAGAAGTATTAAAATGCTCATCTTGTGACTCGGTGAGGCATTCCTGGGTAAATAATTGGCATACTTATCAGAAGGTAAATAATTGGCACACGAGAGAATGTGGAACTTTCTGGAAGCTGGCTTGATGCCACGAACGGGGGCCCCATTGACATCTCTTTGGAGGAACTGCCAAAACACATCCATCATCGCACCCCCGCATCGTCTCGGCAGTAGTCGCCCCGCTTGACGATGGCAATTGGAGACGTGGTCACGTTCTCGCCGAAAAAAAAATATAAATCTGACGAAAGGGGACGTTTCCAGATCGCCGTTGAACAAATTGACACCCTCGTGGTACTTAAAAAAAAAATGACGTTCGCTTTTTTTACGGGGCGCGACGTCTCTTTGATTTCGCACCTTGCGGATGTTCACGTGCTCGGGTGCGCCACCCAGATTTGCCAGTGTTAGCAAGCCTGACCCTTGCACACCCCCCACCAACCACCCCTCTCTTCCCTGAAGCCACTGTGTGCCGCACCGGTTTTGCTGATGACGGGCCAACGCTGCCGTTGGGGACCCCTAATGTACTCGAACAACGGTTTTGCAGGCGAGGAAATTTGGGCTGCCCTCATTGCGCAGCCGCTCGTAAAACGGCTTGTCGTTCGACGTTTCAGGCTGCATCATTACCCAGCCCCCCCCCCCCCTTTCAATCACCATTACCGCCCATCGGCATCGATCGGTGAAATATTTATTGTTAGTCAATCGCGGAATTGAACGGTGGTCAAACAGTGTCGGGACAAAAATATCACCACCGTGGCGTCGGTTATAAATCTGTGCCAAACACAGTGTCGGGAAAAATATGATCGTGTTTACGGAGGGATTTGGAAGATTGGGCTGCGCCAACTGATAAGACACACCCCTGGAGCCATCATGCGACTCCGGGTATGCGGAGCAGAATGCTCCATGCCCAAGTTTCCCAGTTGCTAGTGATATGCTCAGGTGCAATGGCCTGCGGGAGCGGATACAACAGAGCTACCTCTCATGATCCCTTCAAGTGAACCCTGAGGTGTACACACACAGTAGATGGCAGCACTTTCCCACCCACTGTTGAATGTTCATGGCGTGGCAGTCAAACCGATGTTTTCATTCTCAGAAGCTGGATTTTGGCCAAACGAAGCACGGTCCCCAATTTAGTTGCGGTGAGTTTTAGTTGTGTGCAGTAATCACTGTCCGCATCGCACGCATACTCCCAGCATTTGCACTGTTCACTCAGGAGCTGCCTTCATTCAACCGATGAGTGAAACGAGTTCGTTTGAAAAATTCCCCTTTACGAAACAAGCCGTGCAGTTTGGGGGGGCGGGGGGGGCGGCAGGCGCAAAGCTGAACGTTGATGGGGGCGATGACGTGGCGCTGAGCGTCGAGCTCAGTGGGCCTTATCTGGTGAAATAAAAAATATATATATATAATGTTCAGGATCTAAATTTCGAGGTCTGCTAGCAACGACAAGAAGACTTCAGGCGAGAGTTTGTGTAATTTTTACTATTACTCCTCTGTGGATGGATTGTAGACTACATTGGTTGACTATATGGTCCATAGTTTGGGTGGCATGATTATGATCATACTGTGGCTTGTCTTTATGAGTCTCGATTGATACCTGTGTCTCTGTGGGTCTCTATATATTTTCATGGGTCTCTAATTTTCTCTGAGCCTCTTCCTATACCTGTGTGTCTGTATGTGTTTACTATATGGTTCATAGTTTGTGTTGCATCGCCACAATCACACGGTGGCGTGTCTTAAATGTTTCTCTATGAGTATCTATGTCTCTATGGGTATCCTATGCATTGTCGTGGGTGTATAATGTATCTCTATGAGTCTCTGCGTATCTCTGTGTATCTATATGGTACATATAGGGCTACATTTGGTTGATAGCTTCACCAGTGTCTTCGAGGAATGTCCAAAGCCAGCAGGTGCGATGTTTTGGGGATCGATTGAGGTATTTATTCTGCACGTCCACGTTATTCCACTGTTCACCAGCATTCTTCCGGATCTGGGTGAGATTCTAAAATGGAGATTCTGTATCGAAACTGGTCTGTAGCTGAGAGATGGCTAGGCAAGAACGAGCGCGTTAGGCAAGCCGGGCCTTAGTCGCGTGACTCAATATCGCCGCGACTACTTTGTCAACATTTAAGCAAGCAGGTGCGGGATGAGGAGATGGCATGGCGTGTAATCCAGGCGGGATTGTAATATGTCCGATCGCAGCTGTGCGTATGCAGCATGCAGCGGGCATGGACCGTGCCGCTACGAATCTCTGAGCGGATCGCCGCTTGAGAGTCGAGGATTCACAACCTTACCGTAAGCAGAAACCGGATGTGAACAACTGCTCGCAACTCGTTGCAGAGACGTCCATGTGTGAAGCGGTTCAGTTGCGTGCAATCAAGTCGCGTAGCCAAATCGCTGAAGTGTGGACCCAGCTGTAGGGAGTTGACGACGCCGCTGCTGCTTCTGCTGCGTGTTTCTGCGCTGTGAGCGAGCAGACCCCAAGAGGAGACCATGGCGTCGGAGCCGCCCCCACCGTACCAGGAGCCCTACCCCGTGGGCCCCTCGGTGCCCACCGCCCCGTCGGCAACCCCCGCCCCCAAGGGGCCTCCAGGAATGACTGGGCCATTGCTCGGTGACACCAAGTCGATGCCACAGCCCGGACAAGGTCGGCATCGCCAGGGTCTCCAGTGTCTCCAGATCTCTCCCATCTGTGCCTGCGTCTCACGTTTGTCTGTCCCAGTGTGTCTTTGTGTCTCCAGCTTGTCCCCTGTGTCTCTGTGTCTGCCTCACGGCGTCCTTGCATCATTTGTGTGTCTCTGTGCATTGTACGTAAGGGTGATTGCAATGTTTCGGTTGGACTTCCCGACAGGAAATGACAACGGAAGTCTTAAATTATTACGGCGATAGTCATGATGAACGGTTAAAGGTGTGATTGAGTGGGGCTGGTATGTTTATACCTATGTATGTGAACTTCTTTTACATCATACCTAGTCAACTGTGCAAATCGGAGGTACAGGGGAAGGACAACAAACTACACCAATAGCATATGGACAGCGAAAGACAGAGCCATTTGTTTAGCCTTGTAATCCACAGTGGCCTACAAGCCAATTGCTGTTAGCGGCGCCTCGCATGGTTCGGTGGTGTGGCCAGCACCCTAGTTGGCCGTGTTGGTTCCCTAGTCCCTGATGGTTACACACGGCACCCACCAGACACTCATGTGTGGCTGAGTTGCCCTCGGCGAGACCTCCAGGACCAGTGGCCGCGAATCGAACTGAGGTCGCCGGGTTCGTAGCGTGATGTGCGGATCCACCGCACCGCCGCTCTCCCCTAATCGGAGGTGCGGGATAAGGACTGTAAACTCCACACAAAAAGCAGTTCTCAAGAAATGGGTTTGTCAATCGAGATGATTTAAAAGTGCATCGCTCCAGTGGCTTCCTAATATCCGAAGGAAGAGGTTTCCAGACGGCCGCAGAAGCGCACACAAAAGTGCGCGATGCGGTAACCCTCTTTGTTCGATGGCCAGCCAAAAGCCGCTGTGAGGATGACCCAAGTTCGCATGATGGTTTCTGCTTCTTGACAAGATCAGCAAGGTGGTGGGAGAGCGGCTGTAGTAGCAACCACCGTGATGATTGGAGAGGCGAGGAGGAGAACGCGACTCGATGGTGGGAGATTGGCCTCAGTAAATCCGCGAGCACCCCCGTCTCTATCAACAGTGGACTCTGTCCCGAGGCGAGTGCACCCATGCAGCTGTTAATTATTCATCTTTAAAAAAAATATTTTTTGAAGAAGTGGTCTAGAATTGGAGAGATACTTTGGGGGCAAAGTAGCTCTCCAATTCAGTCTAACACGTAGGCTGTCGCGAACAGTATTATCCAAAATAAATGGGGTTTTTTGGGTTAGATCCATTGCCGAGGTGGCGCTGTACGGCTCTACGGCGGTGTTTTTCTGGTCTCGCCCGATTCCGCCCAGTATCTTTTGCATTCGGCGGACGACGTTTCGCTCTGCCTGCCGTGGGAGCTTTTTTTCCGGGAACCGAATTCTCCCTCGGCGTCATTCTCTTCAGGAGCTTAGTTTCGGTCACCCGAGCACCCGCTGGGTTCGGTTTCCTGAAGGAGCTCGCGGCACGCGCAGCGGATCGCCGGCACACACGGCGCGTCGTATCAACAAGGCTCGATTATTACAACTCGCTACTCTACGGGAAGTTTGGCAAAAACATTACCAAGTTGCGGCTTGTAAAAAACTCTTTGGCACGTGTCGTGACGGGTACTGCAAAGTGCCGACCATGTCCATGCAGTGCTCGCCTAGCTGCGTTGGCTTCCGGTTGCCGAACGAATACGTTATAAGGTCGCACTCATTACACGTGAAGTGCTTGCCACAATTTCGATTTTAAGCTTTCGTGACTGCAGGGATTCATCTTCTTGGTTCTTTCGGTAAAGTCACGTAGAAGGGAAGTAATACAATAATAAAAATAAAACATAATAAAACAATTCTCACGCCGTTTCGGCCACAACGCAAGCAGCCGTCCTCAGGTGAAAACCAGGTCTGTCGAGGCGACAGCGTCTGAATGAAACAGCACACGTGCTTGGAGCATATATATAAGCTGAGTTGGAAGGGGGGAAAGGGCGCCTTGACAGAAGAATATGCATATCAAGAGGAATTTAGCATATTTATGGGAAATGCAGATATGTGATTAGTACTACTTATGACCGTGCATTATGCAGGATTAGCAGCATCAAAGGGAAGGGATATGGGAAATGCAGGTATGTGATTAGTACTACTTATGCCCGTGCATTATGCAGATTAGCAGCATCAAAGGGAGGGGATATGGGAAATGCAGGTATGTGAATATTACTACTTATGCCCGTGCATTATGCAGGATTAGCAGCATCAAAGATAGGGGATAGGGGTAGCATTAATAAAGGGAAGGAGTGTTAATAGTATGTAGCTGCAGTAACTAAAACCACCACGTAAACAACTAAAGTATAAACTGCATAGTATCATCAGTATACTAAATATACTCTACAATAAGCTGAGTTACAGTAAGTAATACATTACAATTCTACGTCGTAAAAAATATCTAATATGCTTCCATCTAAACTTTATTCTCTTACATCACACGAGTCTACACCGTACTATATACTGCCATAGACAAACCCAACATTAAATTATATACTGTATTGCTATAAACCACCTTATACATTGTAATATTACACTATGTATTATTCTACCCACCCTAATGTATATAACACTGCTGAAGAAGATGCTTGCCACAAATGAACCACAAGAGCTTGCTGATTTCGTCAAGGAGTGTAAACCATCATCACGCTAACTCCAGTTATCCTCGCAACAGCTTTTAGCTAACCATCAAACAAAGACGGTCACCACATCGAACGCTTTCAGATGCACTTCTCTGGCCGTCGGCTGTACTCTGCCTTCCGATATCAGGAAGCCACTGGAGCGATGCACTTTTAAATCTAGATTGAAAGCTAATTTCTTTAGCATTTCTTTTTGTGTTTAGGTCATTGCCCTTTCCCCGCACCTCCAATTTAGTGCGGTTGCCTACATACGGTGCGAAAGAAGTTCAACATACACACGTACGTACGAATGGCACGTCGCGGCCTAAACCCAAACGCGCATCGCTTATTGGGTGACGCATTTCGACGCGAGAGCAAAAGGACGAGTATCGCCCCCTTCATCAACACTTCTTGACAACAACGGCGACAATAACAACAACCACAAAAAGGTTCGTCAAAATGCAACTGCGCCTGATTCATTATTTGTTTCTTTCGTTTGATCTCGTGGGTGCAAGTATCGGTTACTTTTTTTTTTAAACTATAACCCTCCACCACACACCCGACAGAGCCAATCAAACAAGGTGGTCACGTGGCAGAGGTCGCCAAACGGGTTTTGATTCCTTACCCGTACCCCGGCCGCACCAGGGTCGCCAACGGGTACCCGTACCCGGCCGTACCCGTACCCGGCCGTACCCGTACCCGGCCGTACACCGTACCCTACTCGTACCCGGCCGGGTACGGGTAGGGTACGGGTATCGGGTACCTGATTGCGACCTCTGGGATGAAGCCATGTTGCAGGCGCGGGTGGGTTGATTCTAGGAACTTGAATTGTGAGAAGAGACAAGACGTTGGGAAATGAGTGACAAACGGTGACTCACCAGTGACTCACGGCCTACCCGTACTCGGCCGCACCAGGGTCGCAAACGGGTACCCGTACCCGGCCGGGTAGCCGGGTATCGGGTAGGGTACGGGTATCGGGTACCCGGTTGCGACCTCTGTCACGTGGGAGGCAAATGTGCCACCTTTTATCATTTATTTAACGAATGCTTTTACACAATTAGAGCACCAGATATATACCAGAGAGTTAGTGGATGTCAGCCCACGTAACCACACAGCAATGCAACAGCCTACTCCTCAAGCACGTGCAGGGCAAACCGATCCGCCTGGCGCGCTCTGACGCACCCTGACGCACTTCACGTGCCACCTGATTTGGTTTGTTGATTTCGTCGAACATTTCGGTGGAGGTCGCGTTCAGCCTCACTGGGCGTTGGCAACAGCTGCGCGCTCGCTGGGAGTCAACTAATCACGAATCACAAGATGCTCGTTCAATGAAAAGAAATCGGCTAAACATACCAATCAATGCCCACCTGAATAAATAAAAAAGCATCTTCTCGATGAAGCTTTTTCTGAATGAGCAAGTTGACATTAATATACTAATTATAAGAATTTTTATTATAATTATGCAAGCATTTTACCGCATCATAGAGGATGTCCAACGGGGAGATGGAGCGATGAAACGGTTGGTGCCCAAAGCTATCGTCGATGTAACCTCGTACGAGGATTTTCAGCATTGTTACATCGCACGGTTTTGTGAGGGGTGGTGGCGGCAATGGCGTCTTGGGAGGGAGGCCTGGATCCAGCAGTAGATTGACCATGGCTGCTTATGATGATGGTGGATGATGATGGATATGTTTGTTTGAACTTCTTTCGCACCGTACAAAGCCAACCGTGCTATTCGGTATTATGATCGTGCAATTGTTTACCAACAAATAGTTGTCGTCGATAAGCCGTTATTGCCCCGAGCAGGGCCTCCATGAATGGCACAGTCCGCATCAAACGCAGTAACCATGATAAGTATCATTATTTAGCAAATGTTTACAAAGATATTGGGGAAGTAGATGATCTAAAAGCGGGGATATGTTCTGGTCTCAGCTGCGCGATGTGCAGAGCAGATAATGGCCGCTGTTATTACTGCTGTCGCGGGTCGCTGGTGACAGCGGGGCGCCCGTTCGTAGCGTCCAGGCGTGGTCGTGGCAGAGGGGGGCGCGGGGATGTGCAAGGGGCTGGGATCTGCGGTCTAGTTGTGGTCAGGCGCGCGAACACGGGCCGTGACCAATTAAAAGCGGTGCGCGACGCGCGATAGTGAAGAGGACGTGGATCTGGGTGCGTGGTCCGTGCGTGCGTGGGGAAGTGGGCGCGTGTCCGTGCGTGCGTGCGTGGGGAAGTGGGCGCGCGCACGAGCGCGAGCGTGGCTCGAGGGGTTGCGCAGCGATCGGCACACTGCCCGAGGAAACTCGATCTGCCGCTGACGGCCAACTTCGCCGGCGAATATCTGAACCGGTCTTGGGCCTCCCCCTAGCTCGATTAAGCCTTAAAATTTTGTACCAGCGTGTAAACATCGGCACCGGGGAGACAAAGGCGGCCGGGGCGCGGTGTTGGTCACCCATCCTCTCGTGTGCCATGCCGGCCTTCATAGGTGCTGCTTGCGAACGGCACTCGCCCTAACAGTCTGTTACAGGCTATGCGGGGCGATCTTTGTCTTTACATGCGTGTGTGTGCGTGTTCACGTGTGTCGCTGCAGATGGACAGTTCCCCGTGCAGACTCAGCCCAGCTGGTTCCCAGCCCTCCCCCCGTACTCTGCCACCCCACCCACCATGGGCCCCCCCCAGCAGGGGTACCCAACGTCCCCCGGCGAGTATGGACCAGGTACGCCTTCCGGGCCACGGGAATGTGGAATGGGCACCGCCGTTGGTGATGAGAGCCGCGCGTCGCGCGTTCGTTCAGGGCGTGGAGGTGCCTTACTTCATGGCGAACGCTGTTATTCTCTGTGTAATCCTGTGCGTGTTGTGTAGCTATTGTAATTGTAATCGTAGAATGCGATTGAAATCGCATAATGCGGTTGTAATTGTATGTTGTAATTGTATCATGTAATTGTATATTGTAATTGTGATCATGTATAATAGTATTGTAATCGTACAATGCAATTGGAATTGTATACAGGTGGTGGCCCCCCGTTTTTATGATACAATGCGATCCCGAAAATCCCCCCCCCCGTCGTTGGAAAGCGGGTACCCCTATTTTCCCCGTAGACGGTGGAGAGGGGAAGAAACAACGCTTGCCGATGTGTTTTTCCTTTCATCGGCCGTACGTAACAGGGCTCAACGGGGAAACATCCACCAAAGCAAAGCGCTCGAGAATAACGAAACCGCCACGCGCCAAGTCACGTCGGAAGGCAGACCCCCCCCCCCCCGCTCCCGCTCACGCGCCGTTCGTGTCGGGAGACGCGTCGCACGTCGAGTTTGGGCGCCGTTAAGATCGACCCGTTGGTGGCGTGTTGTGTAGGCGTCGCGGAAAGTGCAGATCGTTTGTGAAAATCGGACCACCGTCGTAAAACCGGAGGCAGTCCGCCGATGCGATTTCGTCGAATCGTGACGCTCCGTTTGTGCGCGGCGTGGCTCAACGACCGTGCAAGCGCTCAACCCCAGGCCTTGGCATCAGAACCTTGACTAAAATCATCAGAATCCTTATTGAGGCTGGAGGCGGAGGAATCTGATGAGCTACGAAGCGCTTTTTCACAGACGTCCAATCAGGGGCGGGCGGGCGGGCAGGTCGTCAAGTTGCACCAAACAAACGAATACAACGGCCGTTGTGAGCGCACGATAGGGGAAACGTCGTAAGCAAGTGGATGATACGTAAATAAGTGAATGTAAATAAAGTATAGGAGTACAACAATCGGACACGGGTGCACATCCCCTGGTGCCTCTACGAACAAAGCCGACTCAATAAGGCAACCTTTGTTTGGCTACTGTACCCTCCTTGTTGAATTTTTTTTTCAACCGAGTACCACCTTGCCTTACCCAACACGGTTCTGAGAAATAAATGCGTGAATAATGACCATCGATAGTTTAACCAATTGTCAATTTTGTGAGGCATTCTAATTCGCTAGTATACTGCAAGCAAATAACATCAATTCAACGGGACGCTTTGCATACGTGGCGTAGTTTGTTCGTGCTCGTTTACGATCAATGAGTTTAGAAAGGTATTTGATATCGTTCTCAGTTACCATATGGATAAAATATTCTCGTAGTTATTATGCATGCGTGATTATTCACCAGTGACTCTCATGTATGATATCACTTCACACATTATAGATCCCCTCATGTACCCCCTGGGACGTTGCCACGTACCCCCAAGGGTCTGCGTATCCCCGATTAGAATTGATATACGGCAGCAGGCACCATTTAATTAGATATGTGTGCGTGTGAGTTTGACTGCAGTGTTATGGTCAATGTTTACGGTATATTTTACATTGATTTTTGCGTAACTGTCATTACTGTCTTGATTTGAAGCTTTCGTGACTGCAGGAATCCATACTCTTTGGTTCTTTTGGTAAAGTCATGTAGGTAGATTAATAAAATAACATTATTTTAATTTTATTTTTCTACGTACTTTATTTTATTATATTTTTCTACCTACGTGACTTTACCGAGTGAACCAAAGAGTATGTCATTACTGTGTTTGCTATATGTGTGTGCTGCAGTGGCGAGATGTTAACTGCCTCGCCAGGTAGGCAGAAGGTCGTGGATTCGGTCCCGACCCTGACGCCTGCTGTATATGTGGAGTTTGCGTGTCTCTCTCCCCGTGGTCGCGTGGATTTTCTCCGGTTCCTCCGGTTTTTTACGTCCACATTTTGGAACATGCGCTTAGAGTAATCGGCTGTTGTAATTTTCCACATGGATAAGCCACTACGTTGAGCAAAAATTTGTGGCCAGGTCGCTTCTGATAAAAAAGAGCGATGGGGCCGTCCATAAATGACGTCATGCACCTGGGGGGGGGGGGGGTCAGACATTTGTGACGGTGTGTGACGAGGGGGGGGGGGGGTGAGAAATGTGACGTCACATCAAAATGCGCAACTTTTAATAAATATAGACAACACGTTCTACTTAATTAAATAGACTTTTTGATAAATGTTTTCTCCTCCAACATCAGAGTGCAGCAGCACATTAAATACGCACTACAATGACAATAGTTTAAAGCAATTTGAAGCATGTTTTATTTGGGGGGGGGGGCAGAGCTTTGTGACGTCATATTTGAGCTCCGTTGGCTTTAATTGGTTAAAAAAAAATGGAGAACGGTGCGCTGGTTCAATTTTCTGCTCATGGCCAACACCAATAACGATTATTTGAATCGCCCTTTGGCCTCCCCTAGGTCAACTTGGCCTCAAGTGAGTACCTTGTGCGGTGTGCAAACATCACCACTGGGGAGACAAAGGCGGCCGGGCGTGGTTCTGGCCACCCACTCCCTCGTGTGCCGTGCTGACCTTCATAGGTGCTCGCTAACAGCAGTTGCCCCAAAAGTATGTTCAGGCAAAATGAGGGATCTTTGTCTTTGTGTTTGACTACATGCTGATGTTCATTGTATCAGTGTGTTCTGTACAGTACATGTTACATTATTAATTAGTTTGCGTAAGTGTCATTACATGTTTGCTTTGTGTGTGTTATAGTGATTGCGTAGTGGTAATGTAGTGGTTATTGCTTTGCGCTATGAACCCAGCGACCGAGTTCGATTCCCGCTCACGGCTAACACCGGTGACGATGATCTGAACCGGTCCTGGGCCTCTCCTAGGTCGACTCGGCCTCAAATGAGTACCTGGTGCGGTGTGTAAACATCGCCACTCGGGAGACAAACACGGCCGGGCGTGGTGCTGGTTACCCACCGCCTCGTGTGCCGTGCCGGCCTTCATAGGCGCTCGCTTACTGCACTTGGCCCAACAGTCTGTTACAAGCTACGGGGGGGGGGGGGGGTCTTTACCTTTGTGTGTATGTTGTGTTTGTACACCGCGTCATTACGTGTTTGGCGTCTCGTCACCTGACACTCTGGACACCCTTGCCAAAACGAGATGTTCCATCTGAAAGGGATGGTGCAGGCGAATGCATTTTCATCTTATGTATATCAATCACCAACAACAACAACAACCACCACAACAATGGTAAATCAACAGCGTCCCCCTCTCCGCCCCTGCCTCCCCCTCCGTTCTCCGACCAGCCTTCTACCCGCCGCAGCCCGTGGGCCCCTACCCTGCGTACGGCCAGCCCTTGGCGGCAGGGGGGCCCGGCGGTCCCGCGGGCCCCACGATGGTCGTGCCGTCGGCGGCGGGCCAGGCGCTGACGCTGCTGCACAGCGAGGTGCCCCAGCCGTACCCCATGCGCATGGTGTGCCCGCACTGCCAGCTGCTGGTCACGACGCAGACCTCTCACGTCTCGGGCACAATGAGCGTGCTCATGTGCGTCCTCTGCTGCATCGTCGGGTGAGTGCGGGGGGGCCCCCCCCTCCCTACCGCTTCTCAGTCCGTGAGGGGGGGGGGGGGTAGCTGGTGGGGGGGCAAGTTGGGTAGGGGGGGGGATAGTGGGCAGTGCCACCTGGGGTGGAAATTCAACCGAGTGTCTGCCATGGGGCAGTGTCCACCATGGGCAGTGTCTGCCATGGGGAGTGTCTACCATGATAAGTGTCCACTAGGGGCAGTGTCCACCATGGGCATTGTCCACCATGGGCAGTGTCCACCATGGGCAGTGTCCACCATGAACAGCGTCCACCACAGACATTGTCCACCATGGGCAGTGTCTACCATGGGCTGTGTCTACCATGACCAGTGTTCACCACAGGCAGTGTTCACCACAGGCAGTGTCCACCATGAACAGCGTCCACCGTGGGGAGTGTCCACCATGGGCAGTGTCCACCGTGGGTAGAAAGCTTATTCTCATATTCCGTAGATATTTCACATCAAGTTTTTTTTTCTCTCGCCCCCTCGAACGCTCGCACGCTCACTCGGATGAAATTCAACAGCGTGCATCCTATGGAGAGAATTTCCCCCCTCCCATGGGAATGTGGAATTTCCCACTGTGGAAACAGAGATGAGCGCCGCAACCAACGCCCCCTTTCGTTTTGAACCCGGGAGACGCTTCTCAATGATCTCAAAACTTTTTTTTTTCCCTTCCCAAAAAACGACCGCGCGTCGCCGACCCACTTCAAACGGCAGCGCTCGCACACGCCCCAATTCTCTGGCCACCTTCGCCTTTACCGCCGCTACTTGGCGAGATTAATCCGGGCAGCTGTAGGAAGAGGGCGTCCGGGGGAAACGAACGCACCAAAAAAAAAGGTCCGGAAACGGACGAGCGGCGGTTTGGGGAAAACAAGGATTCAAGAATAGGTCACAACGACATAATCTTTAGGCCTATTTTAAAAGCGGCGCGTTTTTTTTCCTTTTCCAAAGCAAACACAGGAGGGCTATGATTAGTGATCGCCGGCGCGCTGACAACAGGGGTATCACAACGGCGCGATCGTAATCTCTTCCGTGTCCCCATGCGGCCCGTGTGGCGGAGCCAGAGGTGGGGGGTGCAAGCGAGCCGGAAGAGACGCGCGGATTGAATGGGCTTTATTTGACGGTCGGGGTGAAACTAAATTACTAAACTATTTAAACAATTTTTTAAATTTTTCCAGGTAAGGCCCACTAAGCTATGTAGCTCTTTTTCAGCTTATCACGTGGCTTATCACGTGGAAATGTATTGCAGCCAAATTATTTAAACGCACTATTCAGAATGTGGAGGGAAAAACCTATTTGCATGTTCTTCCCGTGACCACGGGCAGAACATGCAAAAATACACGTGACCACAGGGAGAGAGAGAGATGCAAACTCCAATTATACAGGCGTCAGGGTCGGGATCGAATCCACTACCTCCTGTATACCAGGCGGGGTAGTTAACATCTCGCCTCCATGGGTTGGATGCCAGCGGTGGTCCCGTGGAGGTGGTGAGCCTATCGTCTTTCTAGTGCGCTCCTTCCAACTTTGGTTTGGCACGTGCAGGACTCTTCCCCCGGACAGACTTGGGAAGTGTTCCCCGGAGCAAACGTCTAAGCCAGCGGTCGGGAACTTATGGCTCGCGAGCCATATATGGCTCTTCCGGTGATGGCATATGGCTCCCAGGCAATTTTGAGTTGAAAAAAAAAAATAAAAAAATCAGTTTGGAACTGATTTTAAAATACTTGTGATATTGCTTAATAATACTGTGTCATTTAAAGTAAACAGAAATTAGTTTTGAAGATAAATTTCACGGGTCACGCCTGCACGAAGCTCAACCTCACCACGTATGAACCAGACTACAAGGCCATCAGCAAAACCATGCGGCACCAGAAGTTGCATTAAAAGTAAGACATTTAATTTATTATACGTTAAAAATACTATATGGCTCTCAATCAAATATATTTAGAAATATTTGGCTTTTATGGCTCTCCCAGTCAAAAAGGTTCCCCGACCCCTAGTCAAAGCGGAGGTTTTGGTCTCGTTTAGAAGTCCCGCCTTCTTCATCTGTCAGTATCGCCGCGTACAAAATATAAAATGTTTGTTTTTACACATCTCATCAGCCCCACGGCCTTCTGTGGAGTGAACCTCTCCAGCAGCACATTCAGTGTCTCGACAGCAGAGTCAGGCTTGCTTCAAGCAGTGCTGGGGAACTGCCGATGTCTAAAGGGCAAGGAAGAGCCTCTCCCTTAGAAATTGGTCCTAGTTCGGCGCAAAACCATAGCAAAAAATTCTGGTATCGATTGACGCCAGTTACTGACCGGGCCGAGACGTTAAAACTCACTACACACGACGATGGTTTAGCCGCGTGCGTGCGCGTCCGCGTAAATAAAAAAACGCGGATGTTTGAATCCAGCGCGCCAAACCCGCAGGCTCTGGTCCCCATGGAACGGCCATGATGAGCCCACGTTTGAAATAAAGACGGGAAAGAAAGATTTGGTGGTACAACTGAGTGTGTCTCTGACACGGACATTGTAACTTCATTAAAGGAGAGAGAGAGAGCAAAGAGGAACCCAGTCCCAATGACCTGAAGCCAAAAGCCCATTTGTGCTGGCTCAGCGCTTTGCCGATGTGGCAATTATGAACCAGCTTAGACCAGATCCACAACTCCAACCCAGGATTCTAATGTTACTGGCTCATTACACCCCCCCCTGCCTCCTGAATAAGAGAGTCAGACACTTAAGGTCCAGCACTTGAACTTGTCGACCTGCCAGTGCTGGCTCCTGCGTCCGTGACAGCCTTTAAGAGTCCCCAGAGAGAGAGAGTGACACCCGCACCCAAACCTGGAGCCAGAACCTCATCGGTGCTGTCTGAGCATCTCCGACACGTCCATTATGAGTCCCCAGATAAAGACAAGAGGGACGCGCAGCCTCAGAACGTGAACCCATAAACTCATCGGTAACTGCGACGCAGCCATTACGATCGCCCTGAGCCAGTGGGGCCACTCAGCGCGCTGGCGAGATGTTAACTCCCTCTCCTGGTATGCAGCACGTCGTGGGTTCGATCCCGACCCTGACGCCTGCTGTGTATTTGGAGTGCGCGTGTCTCTCCCCGTGGTCGTATGGACTTTTCCTCCGGGTCCTCCGCTTTTCCCCTCCACGTGCGTTTAGAGTATTTGGCTGGTATAAATTTCCACGTGATGATGAGCCGCTTCGTTGAGCTGTTGATCATTTGTGGCCAGGTCGCTTCTGAAAAAAAAGAGCTATGTATCTAAGTGGGCCTTACCTGGAATTCATTAAACACGTGGGGCGGTTTTCCATAAAAGGTTTCGCCGTGCTCGCACTCAAGCGCGTGTGCGTGGGGACGCAGCCATGGCTCTGGGTAAAGCCTCGGCGACCGTAGTTCCATCGCCACCATCGCCTTGCTCGTTAATCCTGCAGGCAAGGCTAGTGATGAGGCCCCCCCCCCCCCCCCCCCCCCGTCTCTCTCCCTCCCTCTCTTGCTCGCTTCGCGCGCCGAGATCTCGTTCCGGTTATTTTGGAGGCACGTCTCCCCGAGGAGGAGGATGAGCATGAGCAGTTGAGGACCAGGAGTCGGGCCAGAGCTTCCAAACTCATGAGCTCACCCACGAGGGGCCCAGGAGTGGCTCTACCACTCGCAGCCCTCTCCTTCTCTCTCTTGCGCACGGCTCTCTCCCTCTCTCGCTCGCTCCATGTCGCTCGCTGTCTGTCCATCTCTCTCTCGCTCGCCTTGGGTCTCGCCCTCCCTCTCTCGCCGTGGCTCGGAAAGGGACGGCAACAACCTGAGATGGTTTTGTTCCGCCACGTCTCGTGAACGCGCGCACCCACGTGATGTTTTTGCCTTTTGCCCGTTAGCGTTTTCCTCCCAATTTTTTTGGTTAAATTGACGCAGCTATGACCATACTTTTGCCACGCTGGCCAGTGCGTGTTGGCGATGGGGATCGGGTGCCCAGGACTCGTTCCGCTAATGCTCGCCGACCGGAATGGAACTCGTGCGGCCAGCTTCGCTGTGAGGTGTTGTCCCTGTCACGTTTTCGGTTGTTCCTGCCACACCGCTACCAACGCGGTCGATTCCTTCCTCTTTTGGGTGCGGAGCGGTGGCGCAGCTGTTAGCGCACTGCGCTTTGCACCCGGTAACCCGAGTTCGATTCGCGGCCTAGGTGGCGAAGAGTGATGTTCTCTGCTTCCCCCCCCCCTCTCGAGCATTGTGGTGAAGTATGGTCAATAACCCTCAAGAGCAGCAAGGTGTGGGGAGGCCTTCATCCAGAAGTGGATTGACAAAGGAATACCTTTATCTCTGCTGCCCTTCATGTTGTATTGGTTTTGTGTGGCCCTGTGGCCGGCGCAACCGACTCACAATAGGGAGGTCACGCGTTCAAATTCCGGTTGGGGGCCGACTCAGCCCAACATCATCACCACCACCACCACCTGCTAAAATGAGTGACTTTTGTGGGAGGTCCACTGGCCGTGCCACGGAAGGACTAGTTGCCGTCACGGCAATGTGGAATTTCCACTGCGGGCTCGGGGTGTGTCACCAATGAGGATTAGCGTCGCTCCACCCTCGGTACAACAGGGAGACGCATTTCTGTTTGAGCAGCTAACGAGCCCATCATCTGTTTATTTTTGTTATATTCCCCCAATATTATCCCGATTGTGCTGTCGGCATCATCACGAGACGAAGAAGAGCCATTCGGTAACTCTCACAGAGCTGTGCAACCTTATCGTGCTAGAGGACAGCCCATGGAAGTTTATTTCACAGGGCTACCTCTGAGATACCTTCAAACTTTTCTGTTTAGTTTATTGTCCTTCCCCCCCGAACCTCCGATTAGCATGGTTGGCTACGTACGGTGCAAAACAAGTTCAACATACGTACATACAAGCGACATCCCGTCCACACAGTAGGGCAAGGCAATTTCCCACTCACTCTGCATATGAGAGTAGTTTTCATCGCACACCGGCCAAACCAATATTGCATTCTCAGAGCTGGAATTTAGCCAAATTAAGTGCAGAACCGAATTTAACGTGGTCATTGCTTTTGTCTGCGCAGTGGTTGGTGAGCGGGCTGAGATCATCAACTTACTGGACTTGAGAACCCGGTGTAATCATGGGCAGCTGTCTGGATTCGAACCCAGTTTCTTACCGGTGGCAGTGTTGTTTGTTTTTTTGCTGTTGTAAGCGTCGCAGTGTTTTCGTGAAAAGTCCGCGTTGGATTTCACGTCGCCACCCAGGCCGCTTGCTTCCGTGATTGGCTGCGCCGCCTGTGAAAAACCTGTCATGTGACCTCGTGACTGTCCCATCGCCAATGGTGACCCACCTCCCCCCCCGTGCCAGCATTATTTACGTTTTGCTTGACGTTGGCAGAAAATCTGGGAGCCTATTTCAACACCCGAATCAAATCCTGAAGGTTGCCAGCCACGTGCGCCGTGTAGCAGCTCACAGCCGGGTAGCGTGAAGCAATAAAACGCTTCGGGAGCGGTTTCGTCGTCCATCTCTTATCCCATCCCTGCAGCCACTCGAGGCGCTGCTATTCACCGCCAAGATGTACGAGTAAAAAAAAAGTTACCGACCCATAAGTGGAATCGCGACAATTCACGGCATCGCCAGGGAGTGTTCAATCACTCCACCGCTCGGCGTTGAGCGAGCCCGCGCCGCTGAAAGCAACCGCGGAGCGTCGCTCGTCTCCATGAGCTTCCCTGAGCCTGGCGGTGGGAATTCCACATTCTTATGGCTACGGACATGTACCGCCTTGCGCAATTGCCTCGGCTCGGAATCTGGACGGCCGCCACCGCCGACCCAGTAGCCCGGGCGGTTCAGTGCAGACCACTGATCCTATGGCGGTGGCACGGCCGTGCGGTTATTTCCGTGCCGTTTCCACCCCCTGCACCCCCCCCACCCCCGGACTTGCACTTCGATCGCCGCCCAGCGCCGGCCACATCAAAATGCAGCACGGGGCCCGGGACGTCGTCTCGATTACACAACGAGAGAGAGAGAAGGAGCTACCGGCCAGTTTGATGAGCTTATGCGTGCGTGCGTGCATACATTCACACGCCCCCACACTTAACTCACAACCGATATGTCAAGGTCATCTCCCAGATGTTATTAAAATAGCCAAAGTGGCAAAGTCAAAAGTCTCCCCCTTCCCACGCCCCCCCCCTTCCCCACCAGAACCAAGTGTGGCGCTCAGTTCTGGTGGTGGAAATTCTACATTCTCATGGTGGGGAGCAGTCTAACTTTCATCGGCCCTGTAGAAAGTTTCTGATCGGTGCTCATCACATGTTTTCGCACCTGCGTACATAGCACGGTTGGCTACGTACACTGATGCGAAATAAGCTCAGCAGACAGTACTTGTACATAATCACCCGTCTGTCCGTACATGACGCATGGATCATGGGCACGGACGCGGACTAAAAACGCGGAACGAAAGCTGTGAGGTGTGCGGAGAGGCGCGTGAAGAGGCGCACGTTGGGAATCGCGTTGCGAGCGGACAAGAAGAGCCACGTGGATCGGAGAGCGCACACGTGCGCACGCGGGGCAGAGACTCGCCTATGACTTTGAGAGAAGTTAAGTGGGGCTCGGGCAGGGTGCATCGTCGCTAGAAGGGGGGGGGGCGATGGCCGGCGGTGGAGACGCAGCGGTGCAATCCGCTCGCGTGCTGGAGCCGCAGCAATTCTACCGTTGCGCCCCTGTGACGATTATTTTTAAGTTGATACTGCTGATGATGATGCTGCTGCTGCTGCTAATGGTGGTGATGATATATGTATTATTTGATGCTGCTTCTACCGCTGTTATCGTGATGCTGCCGCCGCTCGTAATTAATGACGTGGCGACAGCGACGGTGACAGTCCGACCGGAGCCAAAAGGCCTCGCCTCGAGATCACACGCTGCGGGGTCGGGAGCGTCCGATCAACATGCCGATTCTGGGCGGGTGGGCGGGCGAGAGGGCGAGGGGCGTTTTGGCCGGGCGGGCCCCGACGAGCTCGGCGGCCCTGCGGAGGAAGGCGGCCTGCCCCCCCCCCCCCCCCCCCGAAATCTCGCAGCTGTCGCCCCGCGACGACGGAGACCGACGGCGCGGTGGCCTCCGGGCGGCCCCTTCCCCCCCCCCCCCCAACCACAGCGGGCGGCACCAACAGCGCAGTTTTTTTTTCCCTGAGCACGGCCGCAACTGTTGCTGTGTGTTTGCAATTAGCCGGCCTTTTTGATTAATGGTGCGGGGCCGTAGTTTTCTTTAGCTCCTGGTCGATGCCCCCTGAAGAGAGGGGGAAACGTTGCATGCCCCGCTTAAAATAACTGCCTGCCCCCCTTCGAGCTGCTTGGTTGTTGTCGTTGCGGCCTGGAGCGTGCGCAGGAGCCGGTGTGCGTGGTTTGTGTGCGCCTGCTTGCGTGGGTGCGTGGCTGCGTGGCTGCGTGGCTGCGTGGCTGCGTGGCTGCGTGGGTGCGTGGCTGCGTGGCTGCGTGGGTGCGTGCCTGCGTGGGTGCGTGGCTGCGTGGGTCCGTGGTGCGTGCGTGGCTGCGTGGGTGCGTGGCTGCGTGGGTGCGTGGGTGCGTGCCTGCGTGGGTGCGTGGCTGCGTGGGTCCGTGGGTGCGTGCCTGCGTGGCTGCGTGGCTGCGTGGCTGCGTGGCTGCGTGGCTGCGTGGGTGCGTGGCTGCGTGGCTGCGTGGGTGCGTGGCTGCGTGGGTGCGTGGCTGCGTGGGTGCGTGGCTGCGTGCCTGCGTGGGTGCGTGGCTGCGTGGCTGCGTGGGTGCGTGCCTGCGTGGGTGCGTGGGTGCGTGCCTGTGTGGGTGCGTGGCTGCGTGGCTGCGTGCCTGCGTGGGTGCGTGGCTGCGTGCCTGCGTGGGTGCGTGGCTGCGTGGCTGCGTGCCTGCGTGGCTGCGTGGGTGCGTGGGTGCGTGGCTGCGTGGCTGCGTGGGTGCGTGGCTGCGTGGGTGCGTGCCTGCGTGGCTGCGTGGGTGCGTGGCTGCGTGGGTGCGTGGCTGCGTGCCTGCGCGGGTGCGTGCCTGCGCGGCTGCGTGGGTGCGTGCCTGCGTGGCTGCGTGGGTGCGTGGCTGCGTGAGTGCGTGGGCTGCGTGCCTGAGTGGGTGCGTGGCTGAGTGGGTGCGTGGGTGCGAGGGTGCGTGCCTGCGTGGCTGCGTGGCTGCGTGGCTGCGTGGGTGCGTGGGTGCGTGCCTGCGTGGGTGCGTGGCTGCGTGGCTGAGTGGGTGCGTGGGTGCGAGGGTGCGTGGCTGCGTGCCTGCGTGGGTGCGTGGCTGCGTGGGTGCGTGGCTGCGTGGCTGCGTGGGTGCGTGGCTGCGTGGCTGAGTGGGTGCGTGGGTGCGAGGGTGCGTGGTTGCGTGGCTGCGTGGCTGCGTGCGTGCGTGGCTGCGTGGCTGCGTGGCTGCGTGGCTGCGTGGGTGCGTGGCTGCGTGGCTGCGTGCCTGCGTGGGTGCGTGGCTGAGTGGGTGCGTGGGTGCGAGGGTGCGTGGCTGCGTGCCTGCGTGGGTGCGTGGGTGCGTGGTTGTGTCATTCGTTAGGAACCGTAGCTGTTGAGCCCTTCGCCGACTCTGCGAATCGCCACGATTATGGGGGTGGCCGCGTTGCGAACCGCGGATCGGTTCTTTTTGAACCGGCCCGGTGTGTGTCGTTCCTCGTCCTGCGCAGTGTGTTTGCGTGCGCTCCGTCAGCCTATTTGCGTGCAAAAAAAAAACCCGCTCATTCGTCGGCACGCCTGCTTGTGCACGACTGGCAAACACGACTGGCAAACAGCTACTTCCTTGTGCTATCCTTTGTGATAGGTTGCTTTTGAAAACGAGCCATGTAGCCCATTGGGCCTTTCCTGGAAAAATGAAAGAAATGAGGAGTGGTAGTGTCGTGGTTAGCGCAATGCACCGGTTCAATTTCTGCTCCTGGCCAACACCAGTAACGATTTTTTAAATCGGTCCTGGGCCTCACCTAGGTCAACTCAGCCTCAAATGAGTACCCAGTGCAATGTGTAAACATCGCCACTAGGGAGACAAAGGCGGCCCGGCTTGGTGCTGGCCACCCACCCCCTCGTGTGCCGTACCGGCCTTCGTCAGCGCTGCTACTCGCTAACAGCACCTTGCCTCCAAATTCCGTTAAGGCTACATGGGTGACCTTTGTCTTTGTTTGCGCTAACGCAGGTGCGACCTGGGCTGCTGCCTCATCCCGTTCCTCATCGACGACCTCAAGGACGTGGAGCACACCTGCCCCAACTGCAAGGCGCACCTCTTCATGTACAAGCGGCTGTAGGGCGCCCGCAGGGCTCCCAGAAGACCCACGCACGCACGCGTACACACACAGACACACACGTGTACACTCACACGTGTACACGCACACATACACACATACGCACACACACAACATCAACAACTGCCATTCGCCACTAAGTGGCCGTGACGTCACCACGGCGCTTGTGCCAGGCTACACGCGTGTGCACACGCAACCCGCGCGTACTCACGCAACCCGCGCGTACTCACGCACTCGGCCCGCTCGCGTACAAAACCACCGTCCCACTGCACCCGCGTGACGACGGCGCTGCTGCTCCTCGCCGACCGTGGACGGACGACGTGAACACGCGCGTCGCGGCGAAACGCTCGCATCGGCGCGCTATACATATATAAATAGGAATGGCGGGGACAGCACTTAGGGAAGGTTTAACCAATTAGCCGCGCACGATAGGGTTCACGGAGGCGTGCCGTGGCCGTTTACGGGGTGGGGTGGGATGAGTGTCGGGGATTTAAGCTCGTTAAACGCAACCGCCTCTGGAGCTGAACGCGACGTCCAGAAACCGGCCGGCTCGCTCTCGGCTGCGGCGAGCCGGGGAACGCGTCTTGCGTCGCCCGCTCCTTTCCCCTCGACGGGGCGGGGGGCGAATCCGCTTTGGAGTTTTCGGGATCGCGCCTCCGCCGCAGTCCAGCGCCGGTCCGTGTCTTGTCCTTGCTGGCGGGAAAACACAGGCAGGGATGGGGACCGGCGTCACACCGATGCCTGATCCCATCGCCTAACCCCCCGGCCGAATTCTGATGTTGAGAGGGAGGAGGGGGTAGATGGAAGTGGTGGGGGGGGGGGGGTTGCGTTACGATCGCTTTACCGTCGTGGACATGTTTTGTTTCGTTGGATCGAGCACTCTCGGTGACCGTCGTTGTTGAGGCAGCGATGGAGGCTCAGGGTCGCGAGTCTTAGTTGACCGGTGTTCTCTCGGTTGGAAGTCGACGGAAGCCTTGCCGATTCGTTGCTGACCACACACCCCCGTGCCGCGTGCGATTTGGAGGTTTCTCCACCACCCTCGTCTCCTTGCCGCGCGCGAGCGGTCGTTGTGACCGAACTCGTCGGCTCTCAAACGACGCTCTGACAACGACGTTGACGCACCCGGCGGAGATGGATCGTTGCGTCCGATATGGAACCTCCCGTCTGATACAGAACCCGCCGGTCCTGTCCAATAGAGGAACCTTCGTGTCGTCCGATAGAGAACCCGCCGTTTTGTCCAATACAGAGCCCTTGTTCAAAACGGAACCGTCATCTCATCCGATATGGAACCCTCATCCTATACAAAAATCCTCGTTTATTTATTTACTTAATATAAACCCTTTGGCCCTCTACCTTACAGAACCTCCGTCTAATCAAATACCAACCCAGAACCGCAAGTCTCGATCCAATGCAGGGCCCTCGCGTTATTTACGGTGCCTTAGTTTAGGTTCAATGAGCGTTTGCCGATTCCACCACCTTCACGCGGTCATCTTGGCCCCGGTCGGACGGCCCTAACAGAGGAGTACGGCTCCCGTTGGGTCGGATCCCTTTGCCCGTGGGGACCAAACACAACGTTGCTGTCAACGGGAACCAAACTGTGATTGCAATGTGCCCGCTCTTCGTTGTCACTTCTTTTCATTGTTTCGGTGAAAGGGCGCGCGGAGAGAGCCCAGCGGGGTGGGCCCGAGGCTCTGCGGCCCAGCTTGGGATGCGTTGCCAAATCGTCTTTGTCGTGGCCATTTGCTTATTATTTGCTTGCCTGTTTACCTGAATTTATCTAAAGAAGAAAAATACGGCACGACGCTCGCACGCCTCACGAACTGTTTACCTGCGATTTAGCGCAGCCATGGGGGTGGTGGTGGTGGGTGATGGACGAACCATTGGTTCGTCGGCCCGGTTGACGCCGTCGTACGTTGTGGTACGTCGCTGTACGTCGCGATACGTCGAGGCACTTCGCGGCACGTAACGGCGCGGTCCTTGCTCGCCGACTGGCGGGCGCGGCGAGTGCAAACACCCATAATAACTCTTTTTGTTATTAGATCGAGTAAATGTAAATGTGTTGTTCACCCACCAACCACCCGACATGGCCAGCTAGTAAAGGACTTGTCACGTCACCAAAACGTGACAATTAGTTAGTAAGTTGGCACACCACCGGGGTGTTGGAGAGTAAACACACAACATTTACAATTCGAGTAGCCGGCATCACCTACTTTGTTGTGGGTTTACTCTCCAACACACAGGCGGTGTGCTGGCGTAGCAACTGATCGACGTTTTTTTTGTTCAGTGACAAAACTTTTACTCATTGGCTGCGTCAGTTGGTGGCGAGTTTAAAGCGCACATTTAAATTCACGCGATCTAACCCAAAACTAAATACCTTTATTATGAATAATATTGGTTGACACAGCCTGCTACGTGTTAAAAAGAATGTGGTAAACACCGTGATTTAAGACGGAGAGTAAACGCCTCGGTGGTGGTGGCGGGGGGGTCGGGAGGATTAGCGAGAGGTCACAGTCTGAAGTTGAGAGCGGTGCGTCGTGAGTCGCGTGTTTGTTTTTTCCCGAAGCTCCGCGTCAATCGCTCTCTCACTCCAGGTCGAGGATGGCTACAAACTCCAGCCTGGGTTTTTTTTCTTTTCTCTACCCGGTCTGCCGGAGGCAGTCGCGCGAAGATGGAATCGTTGACGCGAGCGGAACGCGGAGGCAGCGAGCGAATGAAGGTTGATGATTTTGTGGCGATGGCGATGATGATGATGTTGATGGACCTGTGGTGGTGCAACGTGCATCTGACCAGTTCCCATGAGAAGCCGGCACGCTTTGCCAGGTCTCCACTGCAAGAGAGACTTTGTTTGATTCACCAAGCTCTCTCGCCTGCAGTGGCGGCGCTCCCGGTGTAAGCAAACGCAGGGTTCCCAATTAGCTCAAGGCACTTCCAATTTGAGCTCAATTTCAGGTTCTACTACACACCGCGCACACGCCTGGATTCGTTAGGTCGCTGGAATGCGCTGCCAGTGGATTCATCATCGGCGGTTTCTCCATCAGACAGACCCATATACATATATACACACAGGCACAGATGCCCCAGATAAACCAGGTTCTTAGGTGTAGCCAGTTGTCAGACTCGGCATGAATAAACCGAGGAGAACCGGGCCGGTATAGCCCCCACCGCTCCTTCGTCACCATCACCATCATCTTAGTCACACCAACGTCTGTCTTGATTCGCTCGCTGCCTTCGCGTTCCGCTCGTCGGTTTAATCCACCTCGCGCGCGTTACCACCTGAGATTGGGAAGAGAGAAAAAAGACCCCGCCAGTGGAGTGTTGTAGCCTCCTCAACCTGAAGCGACACGAGGAAGGGAGCCAGTGCCAGGGCCGTTGGTCAGCAGAGCGACCCTGAGCTGACATTTCGCCAGAAGCCATCGTCGTGATAGCCGACGATCGGGTCATCCCCGTCTTTAAGCACGTACGGAAGTGACCAGCTGGTTTTATTGGTGGAGTGGGGCACATGCTATTGAGATCCTGGAAGCGTGTGGGTGATTGTGTGTATGGATGTTGAACTTCTTCCGCACCACCGTACGTAGCCAACCGTGCCTATCGTAGGTGCTGGGGAAGGACAACAAACTACACACAAAGCGCAGCTCTAAAGAAACGCGTTTTTCCACGTCGATTTAAAAGTGCCATTGCTCCAGTGGCCTCCTCGTATCGGAAGGAAGAACGGCGTTCCAGACGGCCACCAGAGCGCACCTGGAAGCGCCAGGCGACGCGGTGACCGCCTTTGTCCGATGGCCAAGCCCAAGAGCCGTCTGCGTGGATGGCTGGAGTCTGCGTGATGGTTGGCTGCTGGGTTCACGCGAGTTCACCACAGCACGTTCTATCCCGACACGTATTCTCCCAGCCCCCCGCCCCCACCACCCCTCGATCCCCCACCCCCTGCCACCCCGGACTTCCAATTCCCCTCTTGAGGACAATGTCACCACCGTCGTCTCGTCCGCCGTGATGGATTCCCCCCCTGAGTGCGGAGTGGCTTGCGATGATGATGTTGACGACGTTGGTGGTGATGTTGACGATGGGATGGAAGACAAGGTCAGGGTGGGACAGCGTGGCGGGAGGGGTGGGGGGGGTCTGTGTTCGTACACGCGCGATGCTTTGCGCTGGGCTGTTTTGACACAATCATCGTGGATAAAAGGCCGAACTAAAATCCCCCCCCCCACACAAAAAAACAATTGACGATTCAGACGATGTGAAAGAGCGATCGCCTCCTCCTCTGGGAAGCACCGCTAAGTCACCCCACGACTAGGCCTGCGCGGTGTATGACTGACAATGTGGGGATGCCTCCATCCTTGCAGTGGATGGAGCCTGTGCGGGAGGGTTCAGGAAACCACCCGCGGACGGAACCGGCAGGTGAAGCTTACAAGCGGAGAAGAGCCGCACGCTTAGTTCCAGTCGCTTCGCGTCTTCGTTCCGGTCGCATGCCCCCCCCCCCACCCCCCTCTTTGCTGTAAGTGTCTCCGCGGGCTCACTTGTTGTTTCGGGGGTTCGGCTTCGTCTAGAATCCCGCCGTGCCCGCCCGTCGCTGGAGTGCAGCTGCTGTGGTCGGTCCAATCGAGAGGCGCCGTCTTGAGTTCGGGGGCAGAAATCACCCCCAATGAAGCTGTACAGACATTTTTCGATTTCGACCACGTTGGGTTTAACGTCTACGCCTCGCCACCACGGGTCTCTGTGACATCGATAGAGAAACATCGACGTGCAAACAGAGACCCGTGGACTGACATGCACTTTACATGATCTGTGGACTTGCATAGAGACCCATCGACTCGCGTGCACTTACGTAATGTATAGACGCACACAGATCAACGGAGATGTACACCCAGACCCGTAGACTCGCATCGTCATAGAGCCCCATGGACTTAAATATGGACCCATAGACTCGCGTACACTTACACGATAGGCTTACGTATAGAGGATCATCGATGTACACAGAGACCCGTAGACTGGCGTACACTTACATGATCCATAGACTTGCATCGAGACAGCAGATTCGCATGCACTCCGATGATCCATCTACCTGGATATAGGCCCATACACTAACAAAGCCTTGCAATATAGATCCATAGAGTTGCATACACACACATGATCCGTAGACGATGGACTAACATAGAGACGCATGGACTTGCTAAGCTCATTCTCAGCCAAAAAAGTAACTTTGTCGCATTGGGTTCGGCTTCTCTGATTTTCCTCTTGTATGCATGTATGTTGATCTCCTTTCGCGCCGTACGTACTCAAACGTGCTGATCGGAGGTGCGGTGAAAGGACAACAAACTAAACACAAACATCAGTTCTAAGGAAATTAGTTTTCAATCTAGATGATGATTTTAAAAGTGCATATCTCCGGTCACTTCCGACTCTCGCAAGGAAGAAGCGTTCCAGACGGCCGCCGCGCAACGCTGTGATCATCTTCGTTCGATGGTCCAGCCTAAAAATCCGCCGCTGCGAAGGATGACCCGGAGTTTGCGTGAGCGGCTTTATCCTCCCAGACGGGACGTGAACCCGTGACATTCAGCCTGTGTTGTCGTGGAGTTGCAGCAGCGGCGGCGGCGGCGGCGGTGTCGGCGTGGGTGAAGGGAACCCCGGGAGAACTGGAATTTCCAAACCACTTCACCTCGAATGGAGTGTGTTTGAGTCGTTGCCTGTACAATTATCGCCCCCAAGTTATATATATATTGTATTGTCGGAACGTGAAAGATTAAATGTAAAACGGCGCGTTCGTCACGTGTGTGTGTGTGTGATGTATCTGTGGGTGCTCGCTTAATAGCACTTGCCCCAACAGGATGTGAAGGCTGTTCGGGTGCTCTGTGTCTTTGTTGTTTGTGGGGTCGGGAGCGGTTCGTGTCGCGGTTAGTGCGCTGCGCTAGGAACCCGGTGACCCGAGTTCGAACCCTCTCACGGCCAACATCAGTGATGAATATCTGAACCGGTCTTGGGCGTTCTCCCCATGGTCGACTCAGCCTCAAAGGAGTACCCGGTGCGGTGTGGAGTCAACAAAACATCGCCACTGCGGAGACGAAGGCGACCGGGCGTGTTTGCTGGACGTCCACCCCCTCGTGTGCCGTGCCGGCCTTCATTAGGTGCTCGCAAACAGCACTTGCCCTAACAGTCTGTTGAGGCTATACGGGGAGTGGTGGTGCAGTGGTCGGCACACTGCATGTACAGGAATACGTCCCCCCTTTAACGTCGTTTCGCAACTACGTCGTCACTTTATTAACACCGCCACCTGGTTTGCGTCGCCTCAACCCCCTCACACTCACGTCGCTGGCAACGTCGTCATCCGTCCTTTCTCGTTATCCATCGCCTCTCGGCCTTCGCCACCGCCTTACCCTCCGATTAGCACAGTTGGCTACGTATATATGCAACCTGTAAATCGCTTTGATTTACGTCGTTTCGGTGTAAGTCGTTGCAGCTTCCAGGAACGCATCCCCCGACGTAAACCGGGGCGTGACTGTGTATGTCATTACGTACGCACGCAGCATGTGTACGTTAGACGCAAAGATCCCCCGTGTAGCCTTAACAGACTGTTGGAGCAAGTGCTGTTAGCGAGTAGCATCTATGAAGACCGGCATGGCACACGAGGAGGTGGGTGGCCAACACCACGCCCGGCCGCCTTTGTCTCCCCAGTGGCCACGTTTACACACACCGCACTCAGGTACTCATTTGAGGCTGAGTCGACCTAGGGGAGGCCCAGGACCTGTTGAGATATCCGTTTACTGAAGTTGGCCGTGACCGGGAATTGGAACTCGGGTCACCGGGTTCGTAGCGTCGCGCGCTTAACCGCTGCGTCACCGCTCCTCACATTGCACACACACTCGAGTACACACGCAGCGTACACACACACACACGAGTACACAGTACACACGCAGCGTACACACACACACGAGTACACACGCAGCGTACACACACACACGAGTACACACAGAGTACACACACACACGAGTACACACAGTACACACACAGTGTACACGCAGCGTACACACACACACACGAGTACATACACGAGTACACACACACAGGAGTACACACAGAGTACACACACACGAGTACACAAGCTTCAGTCAACAAATGTAGTTTAATCAACGCGTGCGGGGGGGGGATCTCCGGCCTTGACGCATTCGCCTTTGGAACAGCAACAACATTCTTGTGTAAGCGCAAACACACACCTCGTTATCTCTTATAAAATTAATCGATCATATACAATGATTAATCTACAGCGAACAAATAATATTAATAAGAGCGAGTTCGTAACACATGCACACATATACAGCCATTCGTCTACAACGAATCGATTCCTCTACGGCAAATACAATCGTCTCCATGCACGTGTCACCAACAAAGTAACGTTTTTATAATATGTAAAAATGTTGTTTGTCCCTTGACTGTCAATCTTAAATGTGGCTTCGTTCGTTTGAACGTGAGGTTGTCCTGGGTGAAAAATGTGAACCAGCTTTTCTGTTTGTTTGCCCAATCCTTACCACCTGGCTCAAGTAACATAGTAAACACACAAACTATATATCTACATGCGTGTACTCTGATCGTATGTGTACTCATAATCCTCTTTCGCACCGTACGTAGCCAACCGTGCTCATCAGAGGTGCAGAGCTGTGAGGGGGGGGGTGGAATTAACAAACTAAACACACACAAAATTCAGTTTTCAGTTCAGCAGAAAATAAAGTTGTCAATGTCTCGGTGCCATCACGTGGGGCAAGCGCCTCTGACCAAGTCGCTCGGCATGCGACCGCTCCCGTCAAGATCTGGGAAGCTAAAGCGGGGTTGAGCTTTGTTGAAATTGTTTTTTTTTACATCGTAGCAGTTACTCCGACTCGTAGCGCTCCGTCGCTCTCTGTTGAAGAGAGAGGGAGGGAGGATGAGGAGGAACGCAGACAAAGCAGTAAGGGTGGCCGCAGCAGCAGCAGCAGAGATCTCGCAAGCTGAAGCTGGGATCGAGCCCGGCTCATGTTTCATGCCGTTCACCAGGCTGCACCGGCAGAGCATCGAATTCACATTCGACGATATTAAATTCAACTCGTTGCGCGCCACCGCATCGGTCAGTATCCGATCGCTGTTGGAGCGAAAGAGCGAGGGGGGTGGAGAGAGGGAGGGGACGACTCAGACACGCGAGGAGGAACCGCAGACGACGCGGGAAGGAAGCAGCAACAGCAGCGATCCTTTTGCCAAATCCTCCCCGTCTCCCTCCCCGCAAGCTCTGCGGTCCTCTGTATATAAAGGTGTCGTTGGCCAACGGACGATTGGGTGGTGCACGCTCGGATCCGAGTGATGTTGCTCGGATCTGGGTGACCGCCTTGCGCAGACACGGGGGGTCGGGGCGTGGCGCTGTGAGCAGCACCCTCACCACCCTGCGGCGGCGGTCACGGTGTGGGTTTCGGTGTGGTCACTAACCCCCCCCCCCCCCACACTACTCCTCTACCTGCACGCAATGGGGGAGGGGGGGGGTCATCCAGCACTGGCTTGTCAATAAACAAGGGGGCTCAGGTCAGTGCAGCGAGTTTGGATGACATCAGCCCGGTCACCAATGATTGCATAGAAGCAGAATAAAACAACGATTGTGTTGTGAAGTACTGTGAAGAAGGGTCATTGCCCAAAACGTCGCCTATTTATTTTGTAAAGCCACAAACAATGTTATTGACGAATGTGCGGGGGTTTGTTGCGAGCGGATTGATCGTCGTAATTGTTAAGATAATTTATTTCGCACTGAATTCCCACCTACCCATCCACCCCACCACCCCCTATCCATCCATCCATCCCGGGTTCCTTTTGTTAAACCGGAGGCTTCTTTTTGAGTTCGCCCGTGGCTTTCGGGTGGGGCGAAAACGACGGCAAAAAGCTCTCCATTACTTTGCGTCGAAGGTGCCCCCCCCCCCTCTGTTCTCTAGCCACGCTCACCGCGGTTTCATCCTGGCACAGTGGAGCACTCGGCTGTTTGAATGAAGGCCCCTAGCGGGGGCAAGAGCCGTGACTGCAATCGAACACGCGCACGAGCAGTGAGTAGGAAGCACCACGTGCGAGCGGCGATTCACGTTTCCACCAGTATCCTGCTAAAGCCGTCTCCTGTTTCCCACCACCACCACCACCTCTATCCCTCTATTGAAGACCGAAACAGGAGGAGGATTTCTCCGCAACTCTGCGACTGTCCCTTGACGATGCCGGTTGTTGTCATCTTACCGGAGAAGCGTTGTGGTTACTCAAATTGTGAGCGTTGCAGCGTGTTTACTCTGCAACACACAAACCGGTGTGCCGAGCTTGGTAACGAATCCATACTCTTTGGTTCTTTCGGTAAAGTCACGTATTTAGAAAAAAAAATTAAATTTATTTTATTTTGTTTTAATTTATTTTCTTTCTAACTACGTGACTTTACCGAAAGAACCAAAGAGTATGGATTCCTGCAGTCACGAAAGCCTCAGATCAAGACTGGTAACGAATCGGCGCACGTTTTGTTGACGTGGCACAAGCTTACTAATTGGCCGTGCCGGGTGGTGGCGGGTTTAACCACGCATTTATATTTTACGCGATCGAACATAAAAAGCCCCTATTATGGATAATATTTGTCGCGAAAGCCTACTACTACTACTAAGGGTTAAACCAAAAAATAATCCGCTAAAATAAATAAATACTTTTTTTTCTCCCAACTTGACCAATCTCTTCCCCCACCGTCTCCTACCCTGGTTCTCCCACGCGGTTAAATAAACCCAACAACGGCAACCACTATTCCTAGCTGCTATACAACTACCACCACCGCCGCCGCCACCGCCAGGGTTTAATTCCTCGGCCAATATTTTCCAGAACGGGTGAAATCGACGTCGCAGGCATTGTGCGCGCGCTCATTAAACGCGGTAAATCTTTTAAGCGCGAGCGAAGGTTAAATGTAGCTACCGTCACTCCGAGGTCACCATCTGGTGACCCCCAGGCACTCGTTAAGGCACGTGCTATGCACACCACCACCACCGCCATCAATTACCACCAACGCCACCACCACCACCACCACCGCCTCACACACACAACCACTTTCACGAGGACAAGCGAACGCGACACGGATGTGGCGGGTGCCAAAAGAAACCTCCCACCCGGGCTGGTACAGCGTTCCGGCAGTTTTCCAGCTTAACTCAGAAATATTGACACAGGAGGAATCCGAGGAGCTATGAAGCTCTTTTTCACCGCTAGTCCAGTGGGGGAGTAGTAAGAAGAATAGAAGAAGAATAGGAGGAGGAGTAAGATGTTTCAGCGCGACAGCAAACGTCACCACCTTTACGACGCGAGTGTAATTGCTGGGCGCACGGGGGGGGGGAGAGGGGGGGGCAGAGAGGGGGTGGTCGTGGTTCATCATGGGCGGCGACGCGTGGAATCACTTCTTCATGGCGGCGCCTTCCTTGACGAGGGCGCTGAACTCTGCGCGGAGAGAGGCGGGGGGGAGATACGAGGGGGAGAGGCAGGCAGGGAGGGGATAAGAAGGAGGTGAGATGGAGATGATAAGTTGGAGGGTGGTGGATGAAGGTGGTGGTGATGGGGGTGATGATAGTGGTGAAGGTGGTGGTGATGGTGGTGGTGATAGTGGTGGTGATGGTGGTGGTGAAGGTGGTGGTGATGGTGGTGGTGATGATGGTGGTGATGGTGGTGGTGGTGAAGGTGGTGGTGATGGTGGTGAAGGTGGTGGTGATGGTGGTGAAGGTGGTGGTGATGGTGGTGGTGAAGGTGGTGAAGGTGGTGAAGGTGGTGATGATGTTGGTGATGGTGGTGAAGGTGGTGGTGATGGTGGTGGTGATGGTGGTGATGGTGGTGGTGATGGTGGTGATGATAGTGGTGGTGATGGTGGTGAAGGTGGTGGTGTTGGTGGTGATGGTGGTGAAGGTGGTGGTGATGGTGGTGAAGGTGGTGGTGATGGTGGTGGTAAGGTGGTGGTGATGGTGGTGATGGTGGTGAAGGTGGTGGTGATGGTGGTGAAGGTGGTGATGATGTTGGTGATGGTGGTGAAGGTGGTGGTGATGGTGGTGAAGGTGGTGGTGTTGGTGGTGATGGTGGTGAAGGTGGTGGTGATGGTGGTGAAGGTGGTGGTGATGGTGGTGGTAAGGTGGTGGTGATGGTGGTGATGGTGGTGAAGGTGGTGGTGATGGTGGTGGTAAGGTGGTGGTGATGGTGGTGATGGTGGTGAAGGTGGTGGTGATGGTGGCGATGATGATGATGATGGTGGTGGTGAAGGTGCTGGTGGTGGTGAAGGTGGTGGTGAAGGTGGTGGTGAAGGTAGTGGTGAAGGTTTTAGCGGTGATGTTGACTGATGTTGTGATGGTAGTGGTTGGTAGTGGTGCTGATTAACAACAGTGTTGATGAAGGTGCTCATGGTGGTCGTGGTGATTGTAATGGTGGTGGTGGTGCTGATACAGCTCACACCACGATGTGAATGGTGATGCTGCTGATGATGATGATGTCGTTGATGGTGATGCTGCTGATGATGATGATGATGTCGTTGATGGTGATGTTGAATAGTACCGTCAAAGTCGATGCGCCCGTCCTGGTTGCTGTCGATCACCTGGAGGATTTGGTCTGTCTCCAGGTCACTCAGCTTCTTGCTCAACTCCCCAGTGATGACCGCTGTCACATACCTAACAACATCATCATCATCCTCGTCAATATTAAATCATCGCCGTAAGCATCACGATCATCATGACCCAGTGACCGAGTGACGAGGTAGGTGAGTGTGTGGGTAAGGAAATGAGTAGGTGAGTGAGTGGATGAGTGAGTGGGTGAGTGGACGAGTGAGTGGGTGAGTGGATGAGCGAGTGAATCGATCACTGAGTGAGTGGATGAGTGAGTGGACGAGAGGGTGAACGAATGGATGGGTCAGTTAGTTGATCAGATAGCTGTAAGGGATTGAGTAGGCGAGTATGTGTATGAGTGAGCTCGTGCAAGAGTGAGTCGATCACTGAGTGAGTGGGTTAGTGGACGAGTGAGTGAGCAAGTGATCGAATGAGTAAGAAATTGAGTTGGTAGGTGAATGAGTGAGTTATTCGATGAATGAGTGAGTTGAGTGAGTGGACAATTGATTGGGTGAGTGAGTGGATGAGCGAGTAAAGTCCATCATTGAGCGAGTGTGTAAGGGATTGAGTCGGTGGGTGAATGTACTAGTGGGTGGGTCAGTAAGGAAGTGGATTAGTGAGTGCGTCGATAAGTGGGTGAGTGAGTAAGTGAGTGAATGAGCGAGAGGCTGAGTAGGTAAGTAAGTGATTGAATGAGTGAGATGCTGAGTTGGTGACTTGGTGAGTGAGTAAGTGAGTGAATGAGTGAGAGGCCGAGTTGGTGAGTGCGTGAGTAAGTGAGTGAATGAGTGAGATGCTGAGTTGGTGACTGGGTGAGTGAGTAAGTGAGTGAATGAGTGAGAGGCCGAGTTGGTGACTGGGTGAGTGAGTAAGTGAGTGAATGAGTGAGATGCTGAGTTGGTGACTGGGTGAGTGAGTAGGTGAGTGAATGAGTGAGAGGCCGAGTTGGTGACTGGGTGAGTGAGTAAGTGAGTGAATGAGTGAGATGCTGAGTTGGTGACTGGGTGAGTGAGTAAGTGAGTGAATGAGTGAGATGCTGAGTTGGTGACTGGGTGAGTGAGTAAGTGAGTGAATGAGTGAGATGCTGAGTTGGTGACTGGGCGAGTGAGTGATTGAATGAGTGAGAGGCCGAGTTGGTGACTGGGTGAGTAAGTGATTGAATGAGTGAGAGGCCGAGTTGGTGACTGGGTGAGTGAGTAAGTGATTGAATGAGTGAGATGCTGAGTTGGTGACTGGGTGAGTGAGTAAGTGAGTGAATGAGTGAGATGCTGAGTTGGTGACTGGGTGAGTGAGTAAGTGAGTGAATGAGTGAGAGGCTGAGTTGGTGACTGGGTGAGTGAGTGATTGAAAGAATGAGTGAGAGGCCGAGTTGGTGACTGGGTGAGTGAGTAAGTGAGTGAATGAGTGAGAGGCTGAGTTGGTGACTGGGTGAGTGAGTAAGTGAGTGAATGAGTGAGATGCTGAGTTGGTGACTGGGTGAGTGAGTAAGTGAGTGAATGAGTGAGATGCTGAGTTGGTGACTGGGTGAGTGAGTAAGTGAGTGAATGAGTGAGAGGCCGAGTTGGTGACTGGGTGAGTGAGTAAGTGAGTGAATGAGTGAGAGGCCGAGTTGGTGACTGGGTGAGTGAGTAAGTGAGTGAATGAGTGAGATGCTGAGTTGGTGACTGGGTGAGTGAGTAAGTGAGTGAATGAGTGAGATGCCGAGTTGGTGACTGGGTGAGTGAGTAAGTGATTGAATGAGTGAGAGGCCGAGTTGGTGACTGGGTGAGTGAGTAAGTGAGTGAATGAGTGAGAGGCCGAGTTGGTGACTGGGTGAGTGAGTAAGTGAGTGAATGAGTGAGAGGCCGAGTTGGTGACTGGGTGAGTAAGTGAGTGAATGAGTGAGAGGCCGAGTTGGTGACTGGGTGAGTGAGTAAGTGAGTGAATGAGTGAGAGGCCGAGTTGGTGACTGGGTGAGTGAGTAAGTGAGTGAATGAGTGAGATGCTGAGTTGGTGACTGGGTGAGTAAGTGAGTGAATGAGTGAGATGCTGAGTTGGTGACTGGGTGAGTGAGTAAGTGAGTGAATGAGTGAGAGGCTGAGTTGGTGACTGGGTGAGTGAGTAAGTGATTGAATGAGTGAGAGGCTGAGTTGGTGATTGGGTGAGTGAGTAAGTGAGTGAATGAGTGAGAGGCCGAGTTGGTGACTGGGTGAGTGAGTAAGTGAGTGAATGAGTGAGAGGCCGAGTTGGTGACTGGGTGAGTGAGTAAGTGAGTGAATGAGTGAGAGGCCGAGTTGGTGACTGGGTGAGTGAGTAAGTGAGTGAATGAGTGAGATGCTGAGTTGGTGACTGGGTGAGTAAGTGAGTGAATGAGTGAGATGCTGAGTTGGTGACTGGGTGAGTGAGTAAGTGAGTGAATGAGTGAGATGCCGAGTTGGTGACTGGGTGAGTGAGTAAGTGAGTGAATGAGTGAGATGCTGAGTTGGTGACTGGGTGAGTGAGTAAGTGAGTGAATGAGTGAGATGCTGAGTTGGTGACTGGGTGAGTGAGTAAGTGAATGAGTGAGAGGCCGAGTTGGTGAGTGCGTGAGTAAGTGAGTGAATGAGTGAGAGGCCGAGTTGGTGACTGGGTGAGTGAGTAAGTGAGTGAATGAGTGAGAGGCCGAGTTGGTGACTGGGTGAGTGAGTAAGTGAGTGAATGAGTGAGAGGCCGAGTTGGTGACTGGGTGAGTGAGTAAGTGAATGAGTGAGAGGCCGAGTTGGTGAGTGCGTGAGTAAGTGAGTGAATGAGTGAGAGGCCGAGTTGGTGACTGGGTGAGTGAGTAAGTGAGTGAATGAGTGAGATGCTGAGTTGGTGACTGGGTGAGTGAGTAAGTGAGTGAATGAGTGAGAGGCCGAGTTGGTGAGTGCGTGAGTAAGTGAGTGAATGAGTGAGAGGCCGAGTTGGTGACTGGGTGAGTGAGTAAGTGAATGAGTGAGAGGCCGAGTTGGTGAGTGCGTGAGTAAGTGAGTGAATGAGTGAGAGGCCGAGTTGGTGACTGGGTGAGTGAGTAAGTGAGTGAATGAGTGAGATGCTGAGTTGGTGACTGGGTGAGTGAGTAAGTGAGTGAATGAGTGAGAGGCCGAGTTGGTGAGTGCGTGAGTAAGTGAGTGAATGAGTGAGAGGCCGAGTTGGTGACTGGGTGAGTGAGTAAGTGAGTGAATGAGTGAGATGCTGAGTTGGTGACTGGGTGAGTGAGTAAGTGAGTGAATGAGTGAGAGGCCGAGTTGGTGACTGGGTGAGTGAGTAAGTGAGTGAATGAGTGAGAGGCCGAGTTGGTGACTGGGTGAGTGAGTAAGTGAGTGAATGAGTGAGAGGCCGAGTTGGTGACTGGGTGAGTGAGTAAGTGAGTGAATGAGTGAGTGAGAGGCCGAGTTGGTGACTGGGTGAGTGAGTGATTGAATGAGTGAAAGGCTGAGTTGGTGACCGGGAGAGTGTGGGTTGCGTGGCCAACAACAACAGCTGCCGTTATTTAATCCCAGCATCATCAACCAGACCCCCCCCCCCCGCTCCTCCCAATTCCTCCCCACGCGTGGTTGGGAGGAGCAGAAGACTTTGGGGGTCCCTCGTGATTGCCCCCCCCCCACCTTCGTGATCCCCCCCCCCACCCTCGTGATTGCCCCCTCCCACCCCTTTCTCCACCTCTCACTCCAAACCACAACACCCCCATCCCACTCCCCATCCTCTACCCAGCCAGGCCTGAAACCGAACCCGGATCCTGAGTGGAAAATAGTTTGATTTAATAAGGCGAAAGGTCTGGGACCCAGGAAGGCAGAGTTAAGTTCAACTCCTTGTCGGACTGCGTGGTTTGTGTGCTGTGTGTGCGGCTGTCTGCTCTGTGTGCTGTGTGTCTGGCTGTCTGCTCTGTGTGCTGTGTGTCTGGCTGTCTAGTCTGTGTGCTGTGTGTCTGGCTGTCTGCTCTGTGTGCTGTGTGTCTGGCTGTCTCCTCTGCGTGCTGTGTGTCTGGCTGTCTAGTCTGTGTGCTGTGTGTCTGGCTGTCTGCTCTGTGTGCTGTGTGTCTGGCTGTCTCCTCTGTGTGCTGTGTGTCTGGCTGTCTAGTCTGTGTGCTGTGTGTGCGGCTGTCTGCTCTGTGTGCTGTGTGTCTGGCTGTCTCCTCTGTGTGCTGTGTGTCTGGCTGTCTAGTCTGTGTGCTGTGTGTGCGGCTGTCTGCTCTGTGTGCTGTGTGTCTGGCTGTCTGCTCTGTATGCTGTGTGTCTGGCTGTCTAGTCTGTGTGCTGTGTGTCTGGCTGTCTGCTCTGTGTGCTGTGTGTCTGGCTGTCTCCTCTGTGTGCTGTGTGTCTGGCTGTCTAGTCTGTGTGCTGTGTGTCTGGCTGTCTGCTCTGTGTGCTGTGTGTCTGGCTGTCTGCTCTGTGTGCTGTGTGTGCGGCTGTCTGCTCTGTGTGCTGTGTGTCTGGCTGTCTGCTCTGTGTGCTGTGTGTCTGGCTGTCTAGTCTGTGTGCTGTGTGTCTGGCTGTCTGCTCTGTGTGCTGTGTGCCCAGCTGTCTGGTCTGTGTGCTGTGTGCCCAGCTGTCTGCTCTGTGTGCTGTGTGTCTGACTGTCTCCTCTGTGTGCTGTGTGTCTGGCTGTCTGCTCTGTGTGCTGTGTGTCTGGCTGTCTCCTCTGTGTGCTGTGTGTCTGGCTGTCTGGTCTGTGTGCTGTGTGTCTGGCTGTCTCCTCTGTGTGATGTGTGTCTGGCTGTCTGATCTGTGTGCTGTGTGTCTGGCTGTCTGGTATGTGTGCTGTGTGTCTGGCTGTCTGCTCTGTGTGCTGGTTGTCTGGCTGTCTGCTCTATGTGCTGTGTGTCTGGCTGTCTGCTCTGTGTGCTGTGTGTCTGGCTGTCTGCTCTGTGTGCTGTGTGCGGCTGTCTGGTCTGTGTGCTGTGTGTCCGGCTGTCTGCTCTGTGTGCTGTGTGTCTGGCTGTCTGCTCTGTGTGCTGTGTGTCTGGCTGTCTGCTCTGTGTGCTGTGTCTGGCTGTCTGCTCTGTGTGCTGTGTGTGCGGCTGTCTGGTCTGTGTGCTGTGTGTCTGGCTGTCTGCTCTGTGTGCTGTGTGTCCGGCTGTCTGGTCTGTGTGCTGTGTGTCTGGCTGTCTGCTCTGTGTGCTGTGTGTCTGGCTGTCTGGTCTGTGTGCTGTGTGTCTGGCTGTCTGCTCTGTGTGCTGTGTGTCTGGCTGTCTGCTCTGTGTGCTGTGTGTCTGGCTGTCTGCTCTGTGTGCTGTGTGTCCAGCTGTCTGGTCTGTGTGCTGTGTGTCTGGCTGTCTGGTCTGTGTGCTGTGTGTCTGGCTGTCTGGTCTGTGTGCTGTGTGCCCAGCTGTCTGCTCTGTGTGCTGTGTGTCTGGCTGTTTGCTCTGTGTGCTGTGTGTCTGGCTGTCTGGTCTGTGTGCTGTGTGTGCGGCTGTCTGGTCTGTGTGCTGTGTGTCTGGCTGTCTGCTCTGTGTGCTGTGTGTCTGGCTGTCTGCTCTGTGTGCTGTGTGTCCAGCTGTCTGGTCTGTGTGCTGTGTGTCTGGCTGTCTGGTCTGTGTGCTGTGTGTCTGGCTGTCTGGTCTGTGTGCTGTGTGCCCAGCTGTCTGCTCTGTGTGCTGTGTGTCTGGCTGTTTGCTCTGTGTGCTGTGTGTCTGGCTGTCTGGTCTGTGTGCTGTGTGTGCGGCTGTCTGGTCTGTGTGCTGTGTTTCTGGCTGACTGCTCTGTGTGCTGTGTGTCTGGCTGTCTGCTCTGTGTGCTGTGTGTCTGGCTGTCTGCTCTGTGTGCTGTGTGCGGCTGTCTGGTCTGTGTGCTGTGTGTCCGGCTGTCTAGTCTGTGTGCTGTGTGTCTGGTTGTCTGGTCTGTGTGCTGTGTGTCTGGCTGTCTGCTCTGTGTGCTGTGTGTCTGGCTGTCTGCTCTGTGTGCTGTGTGTCTGGCTGTCTGCTCTGTGTGCTGTGTGTCTGGCTGTCTGCTCTGTGTGCTGTGTGTGCGGCTGTCTGGTCTGTGTGCTGTGTGTGCGGCTGTCTGGTCCACTTCTAAGCGGACGTCTCAGCAACCGGTTGCGAGTGATTGCCCGCAAAGACTCGCGGGCGTGGTGGTGCCGGTAACGTGTTGCCGTGCCGGCCTTCATAGGCGCTGGCCCTCGCGAACAGAAACTTGCCCCAACAATCTGTTGGGGCTACGGGGGTGGGGGGAGGGGATCTTTGTCTTTGCCTGTGTGTGTGTGACGGTGTTTGACGGTGTGTGCGTGTGTGTGTGTCTGTGTGTGTGGGTCTGTGTGTGCGTGGGGAGCGGTGGTGTAGCAGTCAGCGCGCCGCGCTACGAACCCGACGATCCGAGTTCGATTCCCGCTCACGGACAACACCGGTGATGAATATGAGAACCGGTCCTGAGCCTCCCCCCTAGGTCGGCTCAGCCTCAAATGAGTACCCGGTGTAGCGGTGTGTCGTAAACATCGCCACCGTGGGATACAGAGGCGGCCGGGCGTGTTTGCTGGCCCACCCACCCCCTCGTGCGCATTGCCGGCCTTCATAGGTGCTGCTACTCGCTAACAGCACTTGCCCCGACATTCTCTTAAGGCTATACGGGGGTGGGGGGGGGGGTCTTTGTGCGTGTGACGGCGCTCGCCTGAGCTCGTTCCACTCGATGTATCCGCTGTTGTCCTTGTCCAGCTGCAGGAAGACTTTGCGAATGTCTTCCTCCTTCTCCCCAATGCGGCTCAGACACTCGAGAAGTTTGCGGTAGTTGAGACTCGTGGCGGCTTGCGGGAGGGGGTTGGTGGTGGGGGGGGCGGAGAGAGAGTCACAGAGGGGTCAGCATCATCAACATCTTCATCAGCAGCACCATCAGCAGCAGCACCATCAGCAGCATCATCAGCAACAGCAGCAGCAGCGGCAGTAAGCCTCTCGTCATCGTCATCATCATCTATATTGTCATCACGAGCAGCGACATTGGAGGTATCTTCGCCGTGATTCTGTACATCAGCAGCATCAGCAGCAGAGAGAGAGAAGCAGCAACAGGATCATCAGTCGTTTGTCAGCAGCGTCAACTCTGGAAGGATTCATCATCATGAACAGTAAAAGCTGCATCATCAACATCAGCAGCAGCAAAACGAAGTTTATCGTCAGCATCATCATTATTTTCGCACCTGCGATGAGCACCGTTGGCTATGTACGGTGCAGAAGAAGTTCAACATGCGTACAGCATTAGCATCAGAAGCAGCATTATTCTCATCAGCAGCAGAAGCCAGGTGATCGTCATCGGTAGCAGCAGCAACGTTGGAGACATCGTCATCATTAACATCAAAAGCATCAGCAGAAGCATCGGTCCCAGAAACTGAAGCAGCAGCAGCATCAGCCGCGGTGTCAACAGGCTCACAGTCAACAGCAGCATCAGGAGCATTAGAACAATCATCAGCAGTTTCATCGCCATCAGAAGCATAATCACGACATGCCTCACCAGCATCATTAGTAATTTGCAGAAGCATCATCATCATCAGCCAGTAGCTTCATCACCAGCATCATGAGTAATTTGCAGAAGCATCATCATCATCGGCCAGTAGTTTCATCACCAGCATCATTAGTAGTAAGCAGAAGCATCATCAGCAGCAGCCAGTAGCTTCATCACGAGCATCGGCAGCGTTAGTCCTAGACGCTCAATTGTCATCGTCAGCAGCAACATCATCGTCATCATCGTCGTAAAAAGCACCAGCAGAATCGTCAAAATCGCCATCGTAAAAAAGCAACCCTGAATGAAATGAACTCGATGTGTGTCACTCCACTGAACAGATCTCCGTGAGAGAGAGGAGAGAGAGACGAGTGTTGGTATCGGATATGAATAAGGGCCATGACCAGAAACGTCGGCACCCACAGTGTCGGTGGCGACCGAGTCCATGGCGTTCCGTGTTTATTGAGATTTTTTCATTTTCTTGTCCCCCCCCCCCCCCCGCACTTTCGATTCGTACGGTTGGCTACGTCCGGTGGTGCGAAATAAGTCGAACGCCCAGTAATGATACAGTACAGACATCTCGGCTGCCTGCAACGCAGACTCGGCCACGGGCGATCTGGGACGTTCGACCCTGGGAGCGTGAAGGTCTCTCCCATGAAAAGAGAGGGGGGGGTCTGTGTGGAGGGGGGGGGGCAACCCAGCCCCCCCCCCCCTAGTCGGGGGAGACTCGATCCGAGTTGGAGACGCACCACGGATCGTTCGTGAGTCAGCACCGCGCGCGTGCCGTCGGGACAACAACAACAACAGCAGCAGCAACAGCGACAACAACAACAACAAATCGACGCACGACCCGGTGCGAGAAAGTCGTCTTGAGGGCTCAGTGAAAGCAGCTCGGGTTTTGGCTTTAACTAACGGGGCTTCTCTCCGACTGTCCTTGCTTAAATAAAGGGCATCGCAATTTGTGTTCGATTAAGGCTATTATTGTTCGTATTGGTTAAGTAAAGGATATCGTTGTTGTTATTATTGGTTTAAACAGGGGCACTGTTAGTGTCGTTATCACTACTACTGGTCTAAAAAAAAGGGTGGGACATGTATAATTGGTGAAATAAAGGGTTTTCGTAATATTATTTTATTTTCTGACACCACGCGGTTTGGCCGCGCTCACTGCCAACCCTGAGTCGGCGCTGTCCGTGGTGCTGATTTAGAATCACACCCCCCTCCTCCCCCCGTGGAGCCGAGCGAATTATTGAGGCGCTTGAAGCGTTTTGTGGGGGGCCGCTTGTGATGGGGGTTGAAGGAGGGAGGCGGCGGGGGGGGGGCAGGTCGAATAACCAGGGGGTGGGCGGGGGGGGGGCATGAAGGATATTGAATGGGACTCAGCGTAGGAAAGTTTCACCGCTTTGCCACCCTCAATTAAACAAAAAACAAATACTTTGTGTTCTACCAGGCAAGACCCACCGAGCGATGTAGCTCTTTTTCAGAAGCGATCTGGCTATTACAAATATACAGCTCAGCGAAGTGGCGTATTACCACGTGGACATTTCTAGCAGCCAAATACTCTAAACGCACGTTGGTTCTGAATGTGGAGGGAAAACCCGGAGGACCCGGAGAAAAATCCACGCGACCACGGGGAGAGGAAGGCACGCAAACTCCAAATACACAGCAGGCGTCAGGGTCGGGATCGAATCCACGACCTCATACATACAAGGCCAGGCAGTTAACATCTCGCCACTGCAGCACACACAATAACCAACGCAAACATTAACAATGTAACATATACCGTACACATTGATGCAATGAACATAACACTGCAGTAAAACACACACACACTTAGTTAATTAAATGGTCCCCGCCGGCGGATATCAATTCTAACCGGGGTACGCAGACCGCTAGGGGTACGTGGCAGTGTCCCAGGGGTTACGTGCGGTGACCTTTACACGTGTGACATTATACCGTACACGAGCGTCATCGGTGAATGATCGCGCATGAATCTGCCAATATGCGTCAGGGTTGCGATGGAACCCACGACCTCCTACATACCAGGCGAAGTAGTTACCACCCCGACACAACCCGGACACACACACACACACTTCGTTGAGCTATCGTTTGTGGGCAGGTTGCTTCTGAAAAATAGCTACAGACCTCAGCGGGCCTTACCTGGTAAAATGCAAAAAAGAAAGTTTAGTTTAGTATCTGAATTTATTATTTAAAAAAACACCAGACCCTCCACACGTTCCCGACACGCGGAATCCACGCGCCCTGATCCGGAGTCGAACCATGTTTCCCATCGGTGGAGCTGGAGACGCTGCGCAGGTCACTGTCGGACATCTTCGCCCCGAGCGCAGAAACCATCTCCAGCAGCTGCTTCTCCCGGTCAATAAACGTCTGGCTCGCCATGCTGGGGGGGGCGGGGGACGGGGGGGACGGGTGAGATGGAGGAGGGGGGAGATGATGGGGGGGAGGTGAGGTGGACAATCGGGAGGTCAACAACAGCCCTGGCCCGAGCGAGTGGTCGTCCGCTGCAGGGGTAGACCAGACAGCCAGACACACAACACACAAACCAGACAGCCAGACACACAGCACACAAACCAGACAGCCGGACACACAGCACACAAACCAGACAGCCAGACACACAGAACACAAACCAGACAGCCAGACACACAGCACACAAACCAGACAGCCGGGCACACAGCACACAGATCAGACAGCCGGACACACAGCACACAGATCAGACAGCCGAACACACAGCACACAGATCAGACAGCCGGACACACAGCACACAGACCAGACAGCCAGACACACAGCACACAGATCAGACAGCCGAACACACAGCACACAGACCAGACAGCCAGACACACAGCACACAGAGCAGACAGCCAGACACACAGCACACAGACCAGACAGCCAGACACACAGCACACAGATCAGACAGCCGAACACACAGCACACAGATCAGACAGCCGGACACACAGCAGACAATCGTAGTCCTGGCTCAGGGTGGTGGACAATCGTGAGGTCAACAACAGCCCGAACCCGAACACCAAACGCACTCACAGCCCGCTCCCTCCTCGCCCCGACTCTACCCGAGGGTTCGGCAAAATCCAAATCACAATAAGAGATATTTTTGTTTTTGAATTCGGTAAAAAAAAAAAAACAACAACAACAAACCCTCAATAATTTCAAGAGCCGCCAATGCAATGCGGCCAATACGAGACGGAGATGGTCCTTCATGAATCACGCCTTAGCGAGGCAGTAGCCCTTAGCGAGGCAGCCTGGGCCGCCGCAGCCGAGCCCGGCTCTAACCCATCGCCATCACTCTGACGCGTCGCGTTCAGCCGCCGGCACTCACCCAGAAGGCTTAGCCGCTACCCTCACTAACTCAGCCTCCGTCTCGACATGCACACGCAAGTGCAGCGCCTTGTCAATTCACTGCCAGGCAAGCCGCCCCCACACACACAGCTGTGTCACATGGCCATGCTTGACCCCACGCTGCTGCTTAGCCGCGGGTCGGTGGGAGGCCTCGGGAGTGCAGTACAACCATGGGTCGTGCTGCAACGAGAGTGTCCACCACTCGCCCGTTGGCCGACGACACCTTAATATACAGAGGACCGCAGAGCTTGCGAGTAAGAGACAGGGAGGATTTGGCAAAAGGATCTCTGCTGCTGTTGCTGCTTCCTTCCCGCTTCGTCTGCGGTTCCTCCTCGCGTGTCTGAGTTGTCTCCTCCCTCTCTCCACCCCCCTCGCTCTTTCGCTCCAACAGCGATCGGATACTGACCGATGCGGTGGCGCGCAACGAGTTGAATTTAATATCGTCGAATGTGAATTCGACGCTCTGCCGGTGGAGCCTGGTGAACGGCATGAAACATGAGCCGGGCTCGATTCCAGCTTCAGCTTGCGAGATCTTGGCGAGATCAGGTCGCATTTCGGCGCCGTCGATCAGAGGCCAAGTCCTGACTCGTAAACCACGAACCCCAGCGCCCCCGACTCGAACCTGCGCGGTCACAAGCGCTCACAGTCACAGCCAAAAACCGCTCCCTCTCACAAGGGCAGAGGTAGGTTCAAAGCGAGCTTCTAAACGAGCAGAGTCCGGTGGTGGAAATTCCACGTTCCCATGACGGAGGCGAGACTACTCGTTGGACGAACTCGTTCCGTGCACCGCGGAGGGGTAGGCACCCTCGTGCGTTCCATAGCCCGAACTCTCGACTCGAACCCTTCATTTAGAGCTTGGTTCCAACACGAACCCGTGTACGTGGCCCTAACCCTTAACCCGAAACATGGCATCAACCCAAGCCCACGACACTGTGCCAATCCATAACCCTAAACCCAACGACAACCTACAATACTAAACCCAACCACAACCCTCACCCAACCACAAACCTAACCCAACCACAACCCTAACCCAACCACAACCCCAACTCAACCACAACCCTAACTCAACCACAACCCCGACTCAACCACAACCCTCACCCAACCACAACCCAACCACAATCCTAACCCAACCACAACCCTAACCCAACCACAACCCAAATCCGACCACAACCCTAACCCAACCACAACCCTAACACAACCACAACCCTAACCCAACCACAACCACAACCCAACCACAACCCTCACCCAACCAAAATCCTAACCCAACCACAACCCTAACACAACCACAACCCTAACCCAACCACAACCACAATCCAACCACAACCCTAACACAACCACAACCCTAACACAACCACAACCCTAACACAACCACAACCCTAACACAACCACAACCCTAACACAACCACAACCCTAACACAACCACAACCTAACCCAACCACAACCTTAACCCAACCACAACCCTAACCCAACCACAGCCCTCACCCAACCACAACCCTTACCCAACCACAACCCTCACCCAACCATAACCCCAACCCAACCACAACCCAAATCCAACCACAACCCAACCACAACCCTAACCCAACCACAACCCTAACCCGCCCACAACCACAACCCAACCACAACCTTAACCCAACCACAACCCTAACCCAACCACAACCCTAATCCAACCACAACCCAACCACAACCCTAACTCAACCACAACCACAACCCAACCACAACCCTATCCCAACCACAACCCAACCACAACCCAACCACAACCCAATCACAACCTTAACCCAACCACAACCCAAATCCAACCACAACCCTCACCCAACCACAACCCTAACCCAACCACAACCCAATCACAACCCAACCACAACCCTAACCCAACCACAACCCTAACCCAACCACAACCACAACCCAACCACAACCCTAACCCAACCACAACCCAATCACAACCCAACCACAACCCTAACCCAACCACAACCACAACCCAACCACAACCACAACCCAACCACAACCCTAACCCCACCACAACCCCAACCCAACCACAACCCAAATCCAACCACCACCCTCACCCAACCCTCACCACAACCCTAACCCAACCACAACCCAACCACAACCACAACCCAACCACAACCCTCACCACAACCCTAACCCAACCACAACCGCAACCCAACCACAACCACAACCCAACCACAACCACAACCCACCCACAACCCTAACCCAACCACAACCCTAACCCCAACCTTCATCCTAACCCCAGACACCACCCTCATCCTAACCCAAGACCCACATCACAACCCGATCGTTGACCCCTCACCAAAAAAAACCCCGATGGGATTAAGGGATGTTGTAGTATGCTAAGGCATTTAGGACCGGCTTTAAGGGATACAAACACAGGTTCGAATTACGGCCAAGTACTCGATCCCAGCAAGAATCGATTAATCGACGCCGCCCATCGTGAAGAGAAGAAAAATACAATAATCGCGAAAAATAATCGATGCAGACTTCTATAAAAGTGGTCTCAATGTTGCCACGAATCTCACCACCACCACCACAACAACAACAACCACAACAACAACAACCAGCCCGCCTCTCTCACCTCGACCACTTGAGACACGCTCTCCTCTCAGACTCAAAAGGTCAAAATCTTCCTCTGCTTTCTCTCCTGTATCTCTCTCGCGCGCGCTCTCTCTCTCTCTGATAGACCGTCCGTCTGCGTCTATGTCTGTCTACGTGTCCGCGTCTGTCGCAGTGCAGCAGTGGAGATGTCTCCCCCAGGTCTCCCGGTCGCAGGCCGCACACACCAACGCACGAACACACTCACACACAGAGCGCGTCTCATCCCAGGGTCCCTGCTCATCCCCTTTATATAAAGAAAGGAGACGAGGTCCCTGTGCATCGGAGATCCCTATTAATAGGGGAGGAGGGGGGGGACTCTTGAGGATTATAGGGGTTCAGCCCCTCCCTCCCTCTGACCCCCCCCCCTCTACTCTACCCCAACGGAGAGGCCCCCTAATTAATCTCGGCTCCGTCGCATCTCGCGTCTCTCATCGCCTCCTGACCCCCCACCTCGCCACCCCCCGCGCGCGCGCGCAGCGGGAGGCTCAGATGCTCTGGTGGTGGGGGGGAGGGGTGGGGGGGGGGGCAATGTGAAGGCGGGGGAGCGGGGGGTGGCCTTGGGGAGGGGTGCGGGGGGGGGGCACTTGGACGTGTGGGGTGGAAGGATGCGTCTGTGCGTGTGTCGTCTGTTGGGGAGCGGTGGTGTAGTGGTTAGCGCGCTACGCTGCGCTATGAACCCGGCGATCCGGGTTCGATTCCCGCTCGCGGACAACACCACCAGTGACGATTATCTGAACCGGTCCTGGGCCTCCTCCCCTAGGTCGACTCGGCCTCAAATGAGTACCTGGTGCGGTGCGTAAACATCGCGGCTGGGGAGACAAAGGCGGTCGGGCGGGGTGCTGGCCAACCACCCCCTCGTGTACCGTTCCCGCCTTCATAGGTGTTACTCGCTAACAGCACTTGCCCCAATAGTATGTTAAGGCTATATGGGGGATCTTTGTCTATGTTTGTGTGTGTTGAGGAGCGGTGGTGCAGCGGTTAACGCGCCGCGCTGCGAACCCGAGTTCGATGTCCCACTCGCTACCAATAACAGAGGCGAGTATCTAAACCGGTTCTGGGCCTCCCCTACGTCGGCTCAGCCTCAAATGGTATCTGGTGCGGTGTGCCAACCGTCAGCAGTGTGTCGTTCCGGCCTTCCTAGGTTCTGCTCGCTAAGCGCACTTGCCCCCAACAGTATTTAAAAGGCTATACGGGTGACCTTTGTCTGTACGTGTGTCCGTGGGTGGACGGGAAGTGGTGGGGTATGTGTATGTGTGGGGTTGGAGGGGTAGGATGTGCGTGTGTGCAGCGCTAGGATGTGTTTGTGGGTTGGTGGGGCTTTGCGGGTTGGATTCCCGATCACGGCCACCAACTTCCCAGTGACGATTATCTGAACCGGTCCTGGGCCTGCCCTAGGTCGACTCAGCCTCAAATGAGTACCTGGTGCGGTGTGAAAACGTCGCCACTGGGGAGACAAAGGCGGCCGGGCGTGGTGTTGGCCACCCACCCCCTCGTGTGCCGTGCGGCCCTTCATAGGTGCTCGCTAACAACAAGCTATACGGGGGGGGGTCTTTGTTTGGGGAGACAAAGGCGGCCGGGCGTTATTCTGGACATAACACTTCATCGTTCGCCGAGGCGGTCTTAATAGGTGCTCGCTAACAGAACTTGCCCAAAAAGTCCGTTAAGGCTATACGGGGGGTCTTTGCCTTCGAGTGTGTGTGTGTATTTGAGTGAACGTGTAAATGCGTGCGTGTGTGTTGTTTTGCCAACTCTCATGCGAGTGAATGTATGTGCGCGCGTGTGTGTTGGAGTGTTGGTGTGTTGGTTGCGTGTGTGTGTGTGTTTATAATTGCGTCAATCCTGTGTTGGTGTGAATGCGCGGTGTACGTGTGTACGTGTGTCTGTGTGTACGTGTGTACGTGTTTACGTGTGTACGTGTTTATGTGTGTACGTGTGTACGTGTTTTCGGCGGTTCACGCGGTGCGCTACGAACCAGAACCAAGTGCCGATTATCTGAACCGGTCCTGGGCCTCCCCTAGCTTGACTCAGCCTCAAATGAGTACCTCATGCGATGTATGAACATCGTGTTGACCACCCACCCCTTCGCGTGCCAGCCTTCATAGCTGCTCGCTAACAGCACTTGCACCAAGAAGTCCGTGAAGGCTACACGGGGGATGTTTGTCTTAGTCACCTCAGTCAGTTTATAGATGAACCGAGTTAACCTATAACACCTGGGTCTCTCCGTGATCATCTGCTGCCAGCAAGCATGCGACGCTTCAGTTGGCCTCAAAGTGCACCAAAGTAAACCATCGCTTCGTGAATAATAACGGCTGTTGTTGTTGTTACTATATTTATAATTTTAAAAAAATGTACGTGTGTGTGTGTCAGCACAGAACACATCATTGAGCAAAGTGGGGATGACCCTGCTGAGGCTGCGGTGCCTCAAATATTGGAAGAATTAGTCACCCCCTGCGAGGCTGGCTAAAGCGCCATCTGTTGAGGAAGTACTAAAGGCGATCCGGAGTCTGAGACCAGGAAAGGCACCGGGCAGAGATGATCTAGCAAGCGAAATGCTGAGGGAGGGTGGCGTTTGTGCACAGACTGCCCTACATGACATCATAACAACAGTCTGGACCACCGGATGGGTTCCGCAGGATTGGAAGGATGCCCTGCTCTTTAAGAAGGGGAACCGCACATACTGTAACAACTACAGGGGAGATCGAAACGTCGTGATATTTTTTATTCACTTTATTTAATTGTTATTTTTTTCTACGTGACTTTACCGAAAGAACCAAAGAATATGAATTCCTGCAGTCACGAACGTTTTAAGTCAAAATTTAATTACAGGGGCATCTCCCTCCTCAGTGTCCCGGGAAAGGTTCTGGCAAAGATTAATTATTCAACATTGCCTTGCTAGGCACGCTGATGAGAGGCTTGCAGAGCCACAAACGTGGTCTCGGGCATAGGAGGTTCTATTTTCTCCCCGTCTGCTACAACAGAGGTGTGTGGAATTCCAACAGGACTCCCATCTCTGCTTTATTGACCTGGTCAAGGCCTATGGGTTGTTATTCATGCTTTCGGAATCCCTGACTCTCTGCTCACAATCATTAAGGACCTTTATAATGGTGGACAGGCCCGGATAAAGGTACGTGGCTGGGAGTCAGAGGCATTTCCTGTTCACCTCTGGCTCCCACATTATGTAACATCTTTATCGAACACGTAGTTTGAGAAGCTTTTCATGGCTGAACCGTAGGAATCTCCATCAGGTACAGATACAATGGGAGGCTCATCGATGCCCGGGTGCGGTCGAGGGATGGTTCCCTATTGCTCAACCATGTTATGTATGCTGATGATCTGGTGATTGCTGCTCACTCAGAGAAGGAGTTGGAGGCACTGCTGCTTGACCTGAAGCGTGATACTATCATCCGCTACTACAAAACTAAGCACCTGCCTGGGTGGTTTGTGCCATCAACCACTCCACTCCCTCAACTCCCCAATGGCGAGGCAGCTGTGGGCAGAGTGCAGAGGCTTCAGTACCTGAGCAGTGTGCTAATGACCAGCTCCGGTTTGACAGCAGAGGTATCTCTCCGAATCAGTCGAGGGGTATTATCTTTTCATCGGCAGTGTAACGCTGTGTGGAAGCTATCTGGCCTTTGCACCACACGAAGCTTCGGTCTTCTCGGTCACGGTCATGCCTTCCCTTATCTATGCTCACAAATCCTTTAAAGATCTGGACACATTCCCATCAGTGAGCTTCTCCAGCAGGAAAGGCTGCATTGGCTGGGTCATGTAGCCCACATGCTCAGCCACCGCATGCCCAAACAGCTTTTGTTCGGCCGGATAGAGGGGGATAAACGGGCACGACACGGGTTCGGGAAGAGATGGAGTGATGTGATAAGAGAGGATATAGAGCTAAGTCTACTTGCCGATGATTGGTACCAGCGGTGTCAAGATCGGCCTCTGTGGAGGAGGCTCGTGAAGGACGCTACTGGGCAGTTGGAGGCAGTCCCCTTCCAACAACAACGGAGGGCGGAGGAGCGACGCTCACAACAACGAGCGGAGCGCCGGGCGGCTCATACACCTCAAGTTGGCACAGTAGGGGGCACAGGTGGTGCATCTGCCAGTCTCATCTCAGTCAGTCAACCCATGCTCAATCCATATGTAAGCGTGTGCAGTGTGTGTACGTGTGTGGTGTGCATGTAAGTGTGTGTGTGGCCGTGTGGACGTCAAGTGTGTATGTATGTGTGCAGTGTGTGTGCGTGTGTGTCTCGCGTACGTATGTATGTACGGAGTGTGTGTGTCTAGTGTGTTTTTTTTTGTATTGTGATTTTTGGAATGTTCTGACCCCTGCCCCGACTGGCCATCTGCGACAAAGAGCTTGATAGCTCATCGGATTCTTCCAGCGTAAATAAAGATTCTGATTCTGTGTTTGTAAGTGAGCTCTGTGTGTGTGTGTGTACATGTATGTGTGTGCGTTAGTGTCGTGGTTAGAGCGCTACGCTTCGAACCCGGCGGGTTCGAATGCCGTTCACGGCCAAGACCCAGTGACGATTATCTGAACCGGTCCTGGGCCTCTCCTAGGCAGACTCAGCCTCAAATGAGTACCTGGCGCGGTGTGTAAACATCTCCACTGCAGAGACAAAGGCGGCCGGGCGTGCTGCTGGCCACCCACCCTCTCGTGTGCCGTTCCGCCCTTAATAGGTGCTCGCTAACAGCACTTGCCCCAACAGCCTGTTCAAGATTTGAAGCTTTCGTGACTGCAAGGATTCATATTCTTAGGTGTTTTCGGTAAAGTCACGTATGTAAAAATTTTAAATTAATAAAAGTAAAATAAAATAAAATCACGACGTTTCGGAGGCAACACAAGCTTCCGTCTTCAGGTGGAACCGTCACAGCCACGACACTTGATACAGCTGTCGTTAAATCCCACTGAAGATCCGTGACCCAAGCACAACCCCCAGACCTAACACCCCCCCCTCCACATCTCCCTCTCGACTAACCAGGCATGCCTCGTGCCCTCACCCTGTCAACTCATCGTAACCCAACAGCCCCTGACCACAAACCACATGGAACTTAACCCTTAAAACCCAACTCTCTACTAACCATAGCCCATTTACACAACCCTAGCCCAATAATGCCCCCTTCTCTTTATTGATTCGCATCCCTCTGATAATGCCCTTCCCTATATCTGCGGGAATGCCCATCCCTCTTATAATGCCCTTGCCTCTGTTGATACCATTTATCTTGCTGGCCATGTCCATCTCT